CATCCTGTCCCACCACCGCACTCTGGAGCATCCTCTCCATCACCCCAATATAAGCATCCTGTCTCACCACCGCACTCTGCAGCATCCTCTCCATCACCCCAATATAAGCATCCTGTCTCACCACCGCACTCTGGAGCATCCTCTCCATCACCCCAATCATAAGCATCCTGTCTCACCACCGCACTCTGGAGCATCCTCTCCATCACCCCAATATAAGCATCCTGTCTCACCACCGCACTCTGCAGCATCCTCTCCATCACCCCAATATAAGCATCCTGTCTCACCACCGCACTCTGGAGCATCCTCTCCATCACCCCGATCATAAGCATCCTGTCTCACCACTGCACTCTGGAGCATCCTCTCCATCACCCCAATATAAGCATCCTCACTCTGAGCATCCTCTCCATCACCCCAATCATAAGCATCCTGTCTCACCACCGCACTCTGGAGCATCCTCTCCATCACCCCAATATAAGCATCCTGTCTCACCACCGCACTCTGGAGCATCCTCTCCATCACCCCAATATAAGCATCCTGTCTCACCACTGCACTCTGGAGCATCCTCTCCATCACCCCACTTCAAGCCTTCCCCTCGTGTCCCCTCTCCCGCAGGTTTGCCCTTGGGGCCGATGGGGAGCTGAGCCCCGATGGCTTCTGCACCCTGGGGGAGGCCGAGGGGGAGCTGCTGGAAGCGGCCAGCCCGGAGCGAGGGATCCGGAGCAGCGGCAGCAGCCTCTGCCTGGCCAAGTACCTGCTGCGGGTGCTGGGGGACCCCTTCTGCGAGGCCGTCCGCAGGGACAGGGACGTGTGGGCAGGAGCCGCCGAGGGTAAGCGGGGGCTGGGGTCTGGGGTGACCCCGGGGGCCGGGGGGCTGAGGGCCGTGTTTCCCGCAGGGGTAAGAGCCTGGAGGCGGGGGGCAGGAGCCCCCCAGCTCTGCGATTCCTGCCAGCGAGGCTTCTTCAACTCGCACTGGAGCTGCCCCAGATGTGGCTTCCAGCTGTGCCCCGAGTGCCACCGCCGCGGGCGCGGGGCTGGCGGACACGGTACGGCCGCAGAAGGGGGGCTGCAAAGGGGGGTGTCAGCTCGGCGGGGATGAACACCCCGTTTCTGATGCAGAGGGTCCAGCGTGGCCGCCTGAGTGCATCCCTGGGCAAGCCCACCCCATCGCACCCCTCATCCCCACACAGTTCATCCCCACACGTGGTGAGTGAGCCCCCCCACCCCGGGACCCCCCCTCAGCCCATTGCCCAGCTCTGACCTCCCTGCGCCCCTGTCCCCAGTCCTGACCCGGCTCTGGAAGCTGCTGCACCAGGTCCGAGCCCAGTTTGGCATCGAGTCTCATTGCCCCTGCGGGGAAGGGGCCGCGGAGCAGAGCCCAGCAGAGCCCCACCTTGGGAGCAGGCAGGTACGGGGGAGCTGTGGGTACGGGGGGAAAAGGGGGTGCAGATGCCCTCCTACAATGGGGTGCATGGGGGGGTTCTGCATGGTGCTGGGGAGGGGATGAGGGATGATGCCTGCATGGACCGGGCTGTTTCAGGAGCTGCCGGGAGCCACGGTGCCGACCCCCCCGCCCAGCGGTGGCCACCCCGACACCTCCCGACCCGCCAAGGGAGGTAGGGCCGGCTGTGCCCGGGGGGGCTGCGGGTGCTCCATCGCATCCCAACAGGGCACTGCTCGGGGTGAGCACTGGAGGGGATGCGGGCGGCCCTGACCCCTTTCACCCCCCTAAGCAGAGACCACGGAGGAGGGGACTGGGTCACCAGAGCAGGGCCCCCCCCGCGGGGCCGTGCACCCCGGCACCCTCTGCGACCTCCTGGCCTCCACCGCTGTGAAGCTGTGCCTGGGGCAGGACGGGGTGCGGATGGCGTTTGCCCCCGTCTCACCTGCTTTGCCCAGCGTGAGTCCTGGTGCCCCAAACCCGTGCTGACCCCAGCTCTCCACAGGGCTTGGAGGGGGGGATCAGAATGGGCTGATGGGGAACCCACTTGGAATCCTCCCCACCCCAGGATAACCCCTTGACCAGCATCCTGGACAGCATCATTGCTCGTGTGGTGGAGAGGAAGATCCAGCAGCAGCAGGCGGGGGGCGAGATGAGTCCCCCAAGTGCTTCCGAGTCCCCCAGCCCACTCAGTCCCCCCATTTCCCACTGCATCCTGGCTCCCAGCGGGCTGCTCTGGCTGCAGGACCCCGGCCACGCTGCCAAATACGAGCTCTTCCAGGAGCACTGGCGGCAGGGCGAGGTGAGCCCCCTGCTCCCTAGGGATGTATGGGGGCACCTTGAATCCCCCCATCCCATCCTGGCCCCCCTGACACCCCCCTGCTGCCCCGGCAGCCTGTCCTGGTTTCAGGGCTGCAGAAGCGCCTGGAGGAGCGGCTCTGGGGGCCTGAATCCTTCCGCTCCTGCGGGATGGAGCAGATGCTGGAGGTGGTGAACCTGCGGGCACCGGGCACCCGCATCCGGGTGAGCAGCCGGGAATTCTGGGATGGCTTCACTGCCAATGCAGGTGAGCAGTGGACGAGGTTTTGGGCCTCAAGCACTATTCCAGAGGTGGGGAGCCAGCCCGTGCATCCCCCCCTCCCTGCGATGGGCTCAGCATCGCGACTTCTGCATCCCCATGTGATGCTGTGCTCCCTGCCCGCAGCACCCTCGGAGCTGGACCAAGGCAGTGGGGACTTGCTGAAGCTGGAAAGTGGCTTTGGGGACATGGAGCCGTGTCGGTAGGTGATGGCAGGGGCTTCACCAGCGTGGGTGCCCCTTCCCCTTGCCACTTGGGTACCAACCCTGCAGCAGCTGGATGCATCCCGGTGTGGGATGCAGGAGGCAGAGCTGCAGCAGCGTGGTGCCCCTCCCAGTGCTGGTACCTGGTACCCCGGCATCGAGCAACATTCCTGTGTCACAGGGCCACCAACCTGAGTGCCAGCTTGCCACTGCCCGAGTACTGCGGGTCCAGCGGCCGCCTCAACCTGGGCACGTACCTGCAGGGACACTGGGCCCGGGGCTGGCTGCGCCCTCGTGTCTGTGCAGCCTATGGTGAGTGCTGGAGGCCTGGGGGTGAGTTGGGGTCCCCCACACCCGTGTCAATGATGGCTGATCACATTCCAGGCGTGATGCCCCAAGACCGGACCATTGGGACCAAACCCCTTACGGTGGAGGTGACCGACTCCATCAGCATCCTGGTGCACGCTGAGGCTGGGCAGCCGGCGGCTCAGCAGGGTAAGGAGGGAGCACTGGGGCGGGGGGTCCCCCATCGTGGTCCTACCCCTGAGCACCCCCATTTCCCGCAGCCACGCTCTTGCAAGGCGAGGATGTGGACACTGCCCTGAAGGAGCGGCTCCGGGATGCTGGCAGCCGCCCCGGTGCCTTGTGGCACATCTTCCGTGCCGAGGATGCCGGCCGCATCCAGGGTTTCTTGCGGAAGGTGGGTGCCAGCGCCCCTTGGCACAACCCTGCTGCCCCCGGCTCCTCTCACCCCACGTCCCCTACAGGCACGTGAGGACCAAGGGCAGGACGGGGCGGCCATGGGGGAGCAGCCTGGTCCCTACCTGGACCTCTCGCTGCGGATGCGGCTGCGCCAGGAGTGCGGGGTGAGCGGCTGGACCCTCCTGCAGTGCCTGGGGGACGCGGTGCTGGTCCCCGCGGGGGCTCCACACCAGGTAGGCAGCTCTGACCCCCCCCACAATGGTGTCAATGGCGGGGGGAAGCTTTGCCAAAGCCCCTTGGGGAAACTGAGGCAGGGCTGAACCCTGGTTGCTGATGCCAGCGTCCCCGGGCAGGTCCAGACGCTCACCAGCACCATCAGCGTGGAGCAGCGGTTCCTCTCACCGGAGCACACTGCACAGCTCCGGGACCACAGCACGGACCCCACTGGGAGCACGCGGCAGCTCTGTGCCCGGGTGGGTGATGGCGGGGGGCTGTGGAGCAGGGCTCCTGGTGTGGGGGGAAGCGGTGCTGAGCCCTCTTTGCCCCCTTGCAGCTCGACAGCATGATCGTCTCCGCTGTGCGGGAGGCTGTGGGAGTGCTGCGGGGATGCAAGTGAGGAGGATGAGGATGCTCGGACGCGGCCGCGGTGCTGCAGGGAGATGGGGACGGGCACCTCCTGTTTGGTGCTTTGCCCCAGGAAGCTCAGGAGCAGGGAATAAAAGCGCAGCAAGCCGGGACCACCGGCACCACCAGCACCCGCTTCGGGGTCTCCTGTGCAGCATCGGTCCCTCCATCCCCATCGGTGGTGCCAGGGCTGGGGGAGGCAGAACGGGGGGCACCGGTGAGATGAGTTTGGTGCAGGCTCTGCGCTAGCAGCCTCACACAGAGCTGGGTCTCACTGCACAGAGGTTCAGACCCCGGGGACAGCTCCGTCCTCCCCTGCTGCGGGAGGGAAACCGGCCCAAAGGGCCCTTGGGAGGCCAGGAGCAGCGCGTCCATGGAGCACGGCGCTCCCAGCACCGGGAGCAGAGGGGGAATGAGCAGGGGCCGCGCACTGGTGATAACAGTTATCACCGTACAGTCATCACCGTGCCACGGGCACAATGCGGTGGGCACAGTGCGATGGGCACTGTGTGACTGGCATAACGTGATGGGTACTGCATGATGGGCACTGTGTGATGGGCACTGCATGACGGGCACAGGGCAATGGGCACAGTGTGATGGGCATAACCGATGGGTACTGGGTGATGGGCACTGTGTGATGGGCACTGTGTGATGGGCACTGTGTGATGGGCATAACGCGATGGGCACTGCGTGATGGGCACAGTGCGATGGGCACTGTGTGATGGGCACAACGCGATGGGCACAGTGAGATGGGCATAGCGCGATGGGCACTGTGTGATGGGTGCAACGCGATGGGAACCGCGCCACGGCCCCACCCTCGCCACGCCCTTTCCCACGCCCCTTCCCGGCCCCTTTAAGACCAAACCGTTTCCCGCGGCCGCGCGAGAAGTGGCGCCACAACCAACCAATCGGGAGCGAGCTGGGGTTAAAGCAAAACCAATGAGCGGCGAACGGGATGGGCGGGGCCGGTGACGCGGTGAGTGTCCCGGTGCATGCGCGGGAACAGGGGGAAAGCGGGAGGGGGGGGGCTGCGGCGCGCAGGGGGCACCTTTACCCCCCCCATTGCTCCCCAAACCCCTCCATTGCACCCCTAAACCCCCCCAATCTGCCCCATTGCACTGAACCCCCCCCAAACCCTTCCCTTCTGAGTCCCGCACTCCAAATCCTTCCTCTGTTGCATCCCGCAGCCCAGGTCCTTCCCTGTTGCACCCTGCAGCACCCCAAACGCTGCCCCATTGCACCCTGAGCCCCCCAAGCCTTGCCCCATTGCACCGCGCACCCCAAACCCTTCCCTTCCTGCACCCTGCCAACCCTGTCCCTAGCACGTCCCCCCTTTGAGCCCATCTCCCATCACCCCCCATCATCCTGCAGCCCACCTCGCCCCCCTGCACCCCGCAGCTCCCCCTGCTCACCCCATCCTTCCCCTGCAGCCCCCTGCAGTCCAGCACGCCCTGGCCCCCGCAGCCCTGGCCCAGTCCCCCCAGCTCCCCACCGGGCATCCCGCAATCCAGCCGCCCCTTGCCCCTCAGCATCCCGCAGTCCAGCCGCCCCTTGCCCCTCAGCATCCCGCAGTCCAGCCGCCCGCTGTCCCCCTGCTTCCTGCAGTCCAGCCAGCCCTTCACGTACTTCAGGTTCCCGGCCACGCCGCAGTCCAGCCAGCCCGTCCCGTACCGCAGCTCCCCGGCCATCCCCCGCTCCAGCCAGCTCTTCCCTTACAGCCCGCTCCAGCCCAGCCAGCCCTTCCCGTCCCGCGCCCCCCCATGCCTCCCCCAGTCCAGCAAACCCTTCCCGTACCGCAGCCCCCCCCGCCTCCTCCCCAGGCACAGCGACCCCTTCCCGTACTATTTCCCCCCGTACAGCCCCTGCTGCGCCCCGCTGGGGGTCCCCCAGTCCAGCCGGCCCTTTCCCTACTGCCCCCATCCCCACATCGCCAAAGCCACTGAGCCCTTCCCCTGCTCCGTGGCCCTGCAGCCCAGCAGATCCTTCCCCTCTTACGCCCCCCTCCACATCCCCCAGTCCAGCAAGCCCTTCCCCAGCAGCTCCCCCCAGCCGGGGGACCCCTTCCTGCATTACACATCCCCGTGCCCCCCGCAGTCACCGGAGCCCCTTCCTCACCATCCCCTCCAGCGCCGGGGCTCCCCCCCTCCTCGCTTGCACGTCTGGGGGGTGCCCTCCCCGCCCCAGCACCCTGCTACCCCCTAAGGGGGGTCCTGTGCTCCCCACCTGCCCAGCCGGCTCGCGGGACCCCGTGCCCATGGGGGAGGCTCCGGTGGCGGAGCTGGATGCGGTGCTGGACGGCGGCGGGTGGGAGGTGGGGGGCAGCTTCGAGGGCCCCCCCGAGCCCACCGCCCCCATCCGCCTGGGGAAGAACGTCTGCTACGTCGTCCTGGCTGTGCTCTTCAATGAAGAGGTGAGCCCCCCCCCCCCCCCGGCGGGACCCCCATCCATGGGTGCTGGAGCCCCCTGACCCCTCTCCATCCCTGCAGGACCGGGTGCTGCTGGTGCAGGAGGCCAAGCCCGAGTGCCGCGGGAAGTGGTACCTGCCTGCGGGCAGGATGGAGCCCGGCGAGAGCATCGTGGCTGCCATGAGGAGGGAGGTGAAGGAGGAGACGGGGCTGGAGTGTGAACCCCTCACCCTGCTGGCACTGGAGGAGCGGGGCCCGGCTTGGATCCGCTTCGCCTTCCTTGCGCGCCCCACCGGTGCGTGATGGTGCCTTGGGGATGGGGGGGAAGGATGTGGCTCTGCTGCCAGCCCTGTGCTGGGGCAGCGGGGTCCCCCCAGCCCTGTGATGGGCATCGGCATCCCCAGCCAGCCCTGTGATGGGCATTGGCATCCTCCGGCACCTTCATGCCACGGCATCATCATCAGCCCCTGCCACCCCGGTGATGGGCACCAGTGTCCCCTGCCGGTGTTGTGCCAGGGCATCGCTGTCCCTTGCCAGCACCATCACCAGGACAGGCACACCCCGGAAAGCTCCGTGCTGGGGTCCCAGTGCCCCCCATCATCCCCATGATGATGCCTGGCTGCCCCCATCTCCCTTTACCCAGGCTCTGAGACCCCCGCAGCCCGGTGCTGGGGTCCCGCTGTGTCCCCCCCAGGACATCGCTGTCTCTGCCTGCAGGCGGGACCCTGAAGACCCTGGCGGAGGCCGATGCTGAGTCCCTGCAGGCCGCGTGGTGCGCAGGGGACCCCCGCGCGCTGCCGCTGCGCGCCCCCGACATCCTGCCCCTGCTGGACCTGGCTGCGCGCTTCCGCCGCTGCGCCCCGCACCCGCCGACGCTGCCGCAGGAGCTGCCCTGCGCCCGCCTCTGCCTGCGCCTCCTCCTCGCCTGCACCGGAGCCGCCGGGGACCTCTGGGTGCTGCTGGGCACGGCCGAGCCCCCGCGCCTGCCCCTGCTCCCCTGCGGCGCGTCCCCGGCCGAGCTGCGCGGGAGCCTGCGCCTGCCCGTGCTGCGCCTGCTGCGGGGCTGCCTGAGCCCCGCGCCCGCCCCGGGCCCCATGGGGCTGCTGGGGCTGCAGCACCGCGCCGGGGGCGCCGGGGGGGCCGATGGCGTCTGCTTCAACGTGGTGCTGAGCATCGCGGCCGGGAGCCCCGGCGCTGAGCCCCCCGCGCCGCGCAGCCCCGCGTTCCGCTGGTGGCACGTGGAGGAGCAGGGCTTGAGGGGTCGCATCCTGCAGCGGCTCCGCGCCGCGGTGCCCGTGCGCAGCTGAGCCCCGGCAATGGGGGTGCTGATTGCGGAGAGCCCCAGGGGGGTGCCTTGGGGCAGGATGTGGGGCTGCGTCCTGGGCTTGGGGGGCTGAGCGCCAGCCACAGCAGAAATAAACCTGGCTGCTGCTGCTGCTTGCACCCTTGACTGAGCTGGATGGGGATGGCGAGCGTGGAGCCGGGTTTTGGGGGTGCTTGGGAAGGGGGACAGCGCTGTATTGATCGGAGGGATGCAGCGTGTGATGCTCACAGCTTTATTACAGCAGAGTCCCATCACCCAGGGGACCCTGAGCAGGGGTTGGGGTGCACCAACCCTGCCAGGCAGGAGCCACAAACACACAGCACCACCCACACACCCCATGTCCCCATGGGGACACGATCGCGTTACTGCAGCCGAGGCATCGCCCCGTGCAGAGAACAGCACCGAGCCCGCGCAGCCCAGCCCTGCTTGAGGCTGGGGGAGCAGGACCCCATCACCCAGGAGGGAGCGCAGTGCAGGGGCACCCCTGCACCCCGAGGGGTGCGCCCGGGGTGGGGATCAGCACCTCCGCGTTGGCCAAGGACTCGGAGCCTCCTCTTCCTCCTCCCCAGTGCCCGTCCTTCCCGCGGTGCCACGCAGGGCCAGCGCAGCCTGGCCAGAAAGGGGGTGCCTGATGGGGGTCCAGGGAGCTGCAGCTCAGGGGGGCCCCTCTGGTGGCCCCTTGACCAGGGCGATGGCAGCCAGCTCCTTGCAGAACTCCTCCAGCACCACCACCCCCTTGAAGAGCATCGTGTGGTCCATCCTGTGGGGGGGGGACACGAGCGATGGGGGGGATGTGGGGTAAAACACCCCCAAGGGGCATTTCCCCCCTGGTGCCCCCAGCACTCACTGCTCTCCCGGCACCAGCCCCAGGAGCTGCTGCCGCACCAGCAGCAGCTTAGCCCTGAACTGGGGCACCCGCTGCAGCCGCTGCATCAGGTCCCCGATGACCTGCATGGAGGGGGGGGAGAAGACTCAGGTCCCGTCTCAGGGGGGGATCCTCGTGTCCCCAAGCCCCAGAGGCGTTACCCGGACGAGGACGGAGAAGAGCGAGCGGCAGCCGGGGGCCAGGCTGAGGTAGGGGTCCAGGAGGTACTCGTGCAGGTGGGGATGGGGGAAGGCGGCCAAGCGGGACAGCACCGAGGTCACCTGCAGGTTGAGGCTGTAGGGCTGGGGATGTGGGGGTGCTCAGCAGGGGCTGGTTGTCACCAACCCCCCCACAGGGACCTGAGCCCATCCCCACCAACGGGACCATGGAACCCTGGAATGGGTTGGGCTGAAGGGACCTTAAAGCTCCTCCAGCTCCAATGGCAGGGACCCCTTTCACTGGAGCAGCTTGCTCCAAGCCCCTGTGTCCAACCTGGCCTTGAGCACTGCCAGGGATGGGGCAGCCACAGCTTCTCTGGGCACCCTGTGCCAGCGCCTCAGCACCCTCACACGGAACAGCTTCTGCCTCATCTCCGACCTAAACTTCCCGTTTCAGTCTGAACCCATCACCCCCTGTCCTATTGCTACAGTCCCTGGTGAAGACCACAGTGGCTGTGGACACCACTGATGCTCTTGGTGATGTTACTCCCACTGAGGGGGTCCTGGATGCTGGAAAGGAGGGCTGCCCCATCCAACCTGGTTTCCATGGCAACAGCCAAAGCATCTTCTACTCAACCCCCAACCCCAGCCAAGACAGAGGCTCCATAGCCTGGAGAGCCCTTTGGAGAACCCCCCCCCCAGGACACACAGAGCATGGTGGGGACCCAGATCCATGCCCAGCATCCCGCTGGCACCCTCTACCTGATCCAGGATCCGCGCCATCCGGTCAAACAGCACCTTGAGGAAGTGACCTTCGTAAAACACCACTTCAGGGTGGCAGGAGTCGAGGGGCCGGGGGGCCCTGGGCCACCCCCATGGGGCTGCACTGTCCCGGCACGCCTGGACCTGGTGGGGGGGTGATGCTGGGTGGGATCCAGAGTGGGGACCGGCACTTCCAGGCATGGGGCCCCCCCAGACACTCACCATTGCCAGCGCATCGTGCACGTAGGTGTCGTAGCCGCCTTCCTCCATGCACGAGGAGGTCTTTGCCTCCTCGGGAACCAGGCAGAGGAAGCTGGAAGTGATGGGAGAGGGATGGGGAGAGGGATGCAGCCCCCCCAAGCTGGGAGAAGCCCTGGGAGTCCCTACCTGCTCACCACCTCGCTCACTTGCCCCTTCCCTGATGGGGCTGATCCTGATGGAAGCTTTTTCACCATCCCAAAGCTGGAATCAGGGAATCCATCGGTGAAGTAAGGATCCTCCTCCAGGTCCCTGCGGGGCCGGCACAGGGGCATCAGCAGGGTGGGCAGAGGGGGGCTCGCACCTTCCCCTGCCCTGCTCCCCTTCACTCACAGCCCATCCTCCTCGTGCTCCAGCTCGGGGGGTCCGCGCTCCTCGGGCACAAGGGGGGTTCGCTGCAGGTACCCCCTGGCCTCCAGGTTCCGCAGCACCAGGTTGTGTGTGATGTGCTCGTGGGGCTTCTGCAGGAGCTGCTCGAAGAGCTGCAGGCTGGCCAGGCTGATCTGGGGTGCGAGGAGCAGGGGGGGACATGAGCACAGCCCCACGGCAGCGCCCGCGCCCCGGCAGGATGGGGCTCACCTCATCACAGAGGTGGTTGCAGCGGTCGATGAGGGGGGTGCGCAGCGGGTGGGGGGCATCCCCCGGGCTCTCCGGGTGCTGCTCTGGCCCCAGCAGGAAGAGCACGAGGCGCCGGAGCAGGGCGGGAGCTCGGATCTGCCGCACGGTGCCCACCAGCAGGGCCGTGGCGCTGAGCACCGCGACCTCGGACCTGCGGGATGGGAGGGATGCAGGAGGGTGCCATGGGGGGGGGGCACCGCAGCGGGGACCCCGCGGTCCCAGCCCCACAGGGGTCACAGAACCAGAGCCTGGATGGGACCTCGGGGCTCAGCCGGCTCCATCCCTGCAGCCGGACACTCACACCTGCAGGAGCTGCGGCCGCAGGATGCCCTGGAAGAACGCCCCCTCCACGGCCTCAGCCACGGCCTCCGCCACAACCTACGGTGAGGGCAGGGGCTGAGCACGGCACGGGCACGGCGCTGCCCCTGGTCGGAGCCAGCAGCCGGGGGCTCCTTACCGGGTGTGCGCCCAGCACCAGCTCGTCCAGGTAATCCAGCCAGGCGAGGAAGGCAGCCAGGCTCTCCCTGCCCGGCACCGCGCCATCCCCAGCACCCTGCGACCTGCACGGGGCACACAGCATGTGGGCTGCAGCAGCGCCCTGAGGGTGTCAGGGACCCCCCCTAGCACCCTCCTCACCTCCAGCTCATCCCCTCCATGGCGAGGACATCGGCAGGGTCGGTGCCCGCGGGCACGGCGCTGTGCAGGTCACAGAGGTGCTGGGTCAGCAGCGGGCACAGGGCACTGCTCCGCACCAGGCAGGTGGCAGCCGCCTCCTGCGCCAGCCCCGCCAGCAGCAGGAGGTTCTCCCGAGCCTTCATCGCCACCCGGCCCTTCTGTGAGGAGGAGGAGGAGGAGGAGAGGCAGCGTCAGGCGGTCACAGGCACCACAGCCCCCCCTCGCCGCCCTCTGTCCCTACCTTGCTCTTGCACAGCCCCACCAGGGATGTGATGAGGTTGTAGTCCTGCCGTGGTGGGGAGGGCTCGGCATGGGGGGAGCCGGTGGCAGGGCCGGAGGGATGCTCCGCACCCTCTCCCATGGCCGGCGGCTCCTGCGCTCGCGCCCCATTTGCAATGCTCTTGCCCTGGGGAGGAAGAGCATCACAGCCACCCCCTGCACCCCCTCATCCCGAGGAGCTGTGCAGTGGGGATGGAGCTGCAAAGCATGTGCAGAAGCTCCCTTCAACCCCACAGATGACCCCATACACGGCCCCACACGCCCAGGGGCTGCTCACCTCCAGGATGTACATCAGCAGCGTGGGATCCTGCTTGATCTTCGTGCAGAGGACGGCCGCAAACTGCACCTCCTCCTTCTCCAAGCCGGAGCCCAGGCGGTCACCGCTGAGCTGGAGCAGCTTCTGCAGGGCACGGAGAGGGTGCTAGGTGCTGGGTGCTCTCCCCCCCCTGCCCCGTTACCGTGAGCAGCATCGGGCAGGGATCTGGCAGCCCCAGCACCAGCACCAGTGATGGCAGCGCTGCTGCGCCCGGGGCTCACCTTCACGGGCCTGTGCACGTTGAGGTAGTGCAGGAGCGGGTGCTGCACTTGGGCCAGCACCCGGCTGAAGAAGAGCAGGACCTGCTGCCTCATCCCGGGCGGGTACTGGGGACAAGCATCAGCAAGGGCCCCATTACCTTCTGTGTACCCCAATTCCCCTCTCATCACCCCCACAGGGTCACCCAGCAGGCAGCACAGGGGGCTTGCACCAACGCCCTCAGCACAGACCCTGCTTTTGCTCCCCCAAAATGATGTAAAAGGATCCATGCCCCCCCCCGGCCCTGCCCCTGACTCCCTTTAGCAACTGGGAGCTGAACACCTCTACACTGACCTATCCCAAGGGGATTATTCCCCTTTTCCCACAATGTTAAAGCCCAGCACCCCCAAAACCCAAACCCTCCCAGCCACGGAAGGGAGCAGCACATTCCTGAAGCTCAGCAACTGCTATTGTATGAATAAAAAGCTATTTATATGGAGCCTACTTATTATTAGCAACAGAAGAAGATGAGAGTTGTTGTATTTGGACTAAACGGGGGCCCCTTCCAACCCAGACTGTTCTGTAACCCTGCGATGCTTAGGGCAGCGTTTACTTGGCGTCACTAGAGGCAAACAAGCTGTCGGTGTGAAGAACACCCTTCTTGTGCAGGCAGGAACGGGATGGGGAGCGAGAGCCATTTGGAGGAGCAGCAGAAAGGGTTCCAATGGGGATCTTACACTGAGCAATCCCAAGGTCCCACCCCACAAACTCCCCTTGTGGAGCTGGAAGAGCTTCAAAGGGCAGAGCAGCGCCACGCAAAGCAGGGCTCAGCCCCCCCGTCCTGGTGCACCCACCTCCGCCTTGCCCAGCGTGCTGAGGGTCTCCAGCACCTTGTGCTGCAGCAGGTACTCGAGGCACGGCCCGGCCTCTCCGCCTGGGAGCTGCTTCTCCTCATGGACCAGGATGTCGAGCATCTGCCGGAGGCGCCAGGGGATGTCCGTCTGCCTGGCCGGGATGCTCTCGTCTGCGGGCGCAGGAACTGGGGCTGTGGTGTGTGCCCCCCAAGGCAACGGGAGCCATGCACGGAGCGGGGGACCCAGATCCCAACCCAATGGGGGTATTCCCACCCCGTGCCGGGCCGGACTCCGGCTCCACGGCGGGAGCGACGCTAGATGGCAATGTGCGGACGGGCTCCCAGCTTCCCCTTCCGCTCCTGGCCTACGGAGCGGCCGGTCCCGGGGGTGCCAGCCCCGGAGCCCCACCGGGAGGAGGGAGGGGGGACCGAGACCCTGCTGGGGAAAGGGATGGAGCTCCCCACGTCCTGCTTTTGGTGCCCCCCAAAGCAGCGTGTTCCCAAAGGGATGGGTTCCCAGGAGCTCAGTACCCCTCATGCTGACCCCAATGCTGTGCAGGGGGGGGGGGTCAGGGCCAAGCACCCGGCTGGATAAATCCTCCATGCCAAAGCCCCCCCCGCCAGGTCGGCTGCACTGACGGTGCCCTGGTGCTGCACTGGGTGCCAAGCAGGGCATGCGCCCCATTCCAACGGGTCCCATTCCAGGGCACCAGGACCCCCTCCAGGGCACCGGGACCTTATCCCCATGCTATGGAGCCCTCTCTTAGGGCATGGGGACCCCGTTCCCACGCCACAGGACTTTATTCCCACACCACACAGACCCCATCCCAGGGCACAGGGACCCTCTCCCCCCCAGCCCCACTCACCCGTGGCCTCCAGGTAGTAGCCGGTGATGCCCTTCCAGTGCTCGGTGAAGGCTTCCAGCAGGTCCACGCTGGGCTCCCGCTGCGCACAACCGGGGCCGGGGTCAGGGACGCTCAGAACCCCCCCGTTCCCATTCCCGTTCCCGTTCCCATTCCCGTTCCCGTTCCTATTCCCGTTCCCGTTCCCGTTCCCGCTCACCGTCTCCACCGCCTGCTGCAGCAGCGCTCCCAGCCGGCTCAGCATTGCTCTGCCCCGGGTACCGGTACCAGCCCCGGCACCGGAACGGGCACCGGAACCGAGCTCGGCCCCGCCGCCCTCCACAGCGCCCCGCCGCGGTGGCTCCGGGAAGGGCAGGGCAGGGGCGGGCGGCCGGGACGGGACCGGAGCCGGAGGGATGGGGATGGGGCGGGGAAAGGGGAGGAGGGGTTGGGGAGGGGAGGTCCCACAGCACGGAAAGGGCTGGGGGACAGGGACAGCCCCCCCCGAACAGCTCGCACTGGGATGGGGGTATCCCCCTAGGAACACCTCGCACTGGGACCGTGACACCCCCCCATGCACCCCTTCCGCAGCTCCCCTCTCCCCAGCACAGCCCAGAACAAGCCGACTTTCGGGACTAATCATTAGCGTTGTCATTTTAATCCTTAAACCCCCCCATTTCCACAACGGACCCCGAGCCGTGACGAGCACAGCACTGGGGAGCAGCCCAGGGTCCAGCCTGGGGCCTGCCAGCTCCAGCAAGGTGCAGTTAAGTGCCCCAAGCATCCCCCATCACTCTGTGTGTGCCCCCCGGATGCTTGGTCCGGGGTGTATCCACATCCCACCCCGTCACCGGGGTCTCTGGGCTTGCTGCTGGTGCTCTGGCCCCACATTAGGGGCAGAACCAGCAGCTCGTGAGGTTGCAATGGGGAAATTGCATACCCTAAACCCAAGGTGTTGGGATGGGTGAGAAGGGGGTGACGCTGGGAGGGGCTCACCCCCCTCCAGCCATTCCAGGGAAACTCAGACCCAGGGACGGACAGTTTATATGTATAATATATCTATATAAAAAATAGATGTGCGTAGTTGTAGCGTTGATACTGATGGTTAAAACCGGGCACCAGGCGGGTCCTGCACGGTCCACGTGCAGCCTCCGTTCAGCCGAGGGGTGCCCCGAAGCTGCTGCGGCACCGCTCACATCACAGCCTTCATCTCCCACTCCTGGAGAGCAGCCGAGAGGGGCGGTCACCCCCCTGCCGCGGCTGGTACCCAGCTCCGCCCGCTCTGCCCTCCCCGCCGGTACCTTTCTCTTCTGCAGCACATTTCCCCTCTCCACCAGGAGCGGGGACGGCGGTGACGGCCTCAGGGCGCTCCTGGCCGATGCCGTGCGCTTCAGCAGCGGCGTGAGGAACGAGCCCTGCTGCAAAAGCGGAGTGGGGAGAGGGCAACGCCTGCCCCCGTGCTCCCTGCACCCCCTGCCCTCCCCAGCGTCCCCACCTCGGAGCCAGCCGAGCCGCTGCTGGCAGCGATGTGGCCCTTCAGGGACGTGCCGATGGCCAGCAGGTTCATCTCGGAGCCGGCTTTCAGCCTGCCCTGCATGCGGCAGGCCCTCTCCAGCTGCCCCACCTTCTCCTCCGGCTTCGGGAAGGCTCTTTTCCCTGCAAGGACACGGTGGCACTGCCAAGCCCCGGCACCTCTCACCCCGTCAGCCTTGGGGAAGGACAAGGCCCCCTCTGCGGCCCTACCGATGAGGAGATCCAGCCCATCCCGAGCTCCTTTCCTCTCAGGCAGCGTCAGGGTGCGCTGGGACTGGGAGAGATCCTTGCTCCAGAGATCGGAGCTCACCTTCACCCACTGCGGGCTGGCTGCCCTGCTCCGGAGAGCTGCTGCTGGTGCTGGGGAGGAAGCATGCTCGGGAGGAAGGATGCCCAAGAGGAAGGGCAGAGGAACCATGGCACAACACCGTGCTTGGGGGCACCTCAGCCTCCATCACAGCACATGGGGATGGGGTTCGTGGGGGGGTCCCCTTGCCCCTGGCGTGGAGCACCCAGGCCCTGCTCACCTGCCTGCAGGGTGCTGCTGCAGGCACCCATGGGCAGCGCAGACACAGGTCTCCTGCGCTGCCCTTGCGCTGCTCGGTCCAAGTTCTGCTGCTGTGGAAGGAAGCCGATGGGTGGTGGGAGCCCATCCCCTTCACCCTGGGGCTTGTATGCAGGGGCAAACGGTGTTTACCAGCTGCTGCAGCCGCTCCATGTTGGAGTAGGGATGCTTGGGAGCCTCAGCTGGTGGGAGCTGCCCAAAGGGATCATCCATGTAGGCATTGGGTGTTGGGACACGGCGCTGGAGCAGCCCGCTGCAAGCAGGACAGGGGTCCCATTGCCACCTGCATCCCCATACCAGAGCAGGAGGGCTGGGATCCCGGCTGGTGCACCCTTACCCTGCAGCAGGGCAGCTGTTGGCATTGCCCAGCCTGGGTTTCTCATTGTGGGGACTGTTGCTGGCTGCTTCCGCTCCTCCCCTGGCCTGCAGGGTCTTCAACCAAGCTTCCCTCTCCTCATCCGAGCGCGTCTGGCGTGGGGCAGAGGGGCCGGGGTCAGCGGGGGCCGGGTGCGGGATGCGGGGTGCGGGATGCGGCAGCGGCTGCTCACCTGCAGCAGGGCGAGCTCCCGGCCGCGCTGGGCGATGCGGATGCGGAGGCGCTGGGGGGAGCCGGCGGCCGTGCCGGGGGTCACCTCGCATCCGTCCAGGCGCAGGGCGCAGGCGGGGTGCTGGGCGCTGCCGGGCTCCGGGACCATGCGCAGGGCTCCCTGCCGCACCGCGCACCACAGCCGCTGCCAGCGCCCGCGCAGCCGCACCGACAGGAACCCTGCGGGGGCAGCCCCCCGTCAGCACCGAGCCGGGGGCACCCTCGGCCCCGCTGCCCTTCAGCCTCGCACCTCCTTTGGCGTCCGCTCCAGCCTGCGGGCTGCGGGCAGGGCTCTGCCGTGAGCGATCCTCCTCTTCCTCCTTGCCAGCCTGAGGATGATGATCCAAGGAGCCCCAATCCCTGCAGGCCTTAAGCACCCTCACCCCCACCCCATGGCAGTGACCCCCCCCCAACATCAGCCAGTGGGGATGGTGGGATGGGATTTGGGGTGAATTCTCTGCATCCCCCTTCCCATGCCTGGGTTTCCCATGGGAGAACAGGCAGCTCACCCTGCTGAGCCTGGAGGAAGGTGGCGATGGGGTGCTGATGGATGCCAGCCCGCCCGGGGCATCGCTGCTGACCTCTTCAATCACCTGCCAAAGGGGAAGGGGAGCACTGCAGCCCCAGATGCCTGATCTCCATTGAACCATGCTCCAGGCAGCGTGGGGATGGATGAGGCCATCCCCAGCCACCTCGGCAGCACCCCATGAGGCTGTGCCTCTTTTCTCCCTGCCCACCCCTCCCTCCTGCCCATGCAGAGCTCTGCCAGGCTGCAACACCTCCAAACCTTCCTCCAGTCCTCAGCCTGCTGCCGGCTCTGGAAGCCGATGACGAGCACCTCTCCTGCTGTCCCGGTCACCTTCAGGGTGTGCGGCATCTTCTTGCCTTGCTTGGCCTTGCAGGTGACGTGGCAGCCCCGCAGGTCCAGCTCCAGCACCGGCTGCGGGTCGGCTGCGTACCTGAAGCACTGCAGGGGCCGAGGGGAGCTCAGGGACCGCTGGGCCCCGTCCCCAGCCCTCGCCCCCCTCGCCGGGCGCTCACCAGCAGCACATGCTCGCGGACGATGAAGAGCTGCTTCGCCCACTGCCCCAGCCAGCGCTTCCGCCATAGGAAGCCGCAGAGCTGCGCCTCGGGGCGCCCGCTGGGCTCAGCACCGCGGCCGGGGCCCGGCGGCCGCCGCAGGTAATGGGCACGGTCCTTCACACCCTCCTCATCCTCCTCGTAGGACTCGTAGTGGCTGCTGTCGGTGTCGGCACCGCCTGAGAGCCGGGCTGGCACCAGCGCGCTGGGTGCGGGCGGGTCCCGGGGGGGGGATGCGGTGCGGTGCTCACCGGAGCAGCGGCTGGGACCGAGGAGCTCAGCATCTTCATAGGAGTCATCGGCGGGTGGGGACCGTGAGACAGCAGGGACCTTGCTCTGGGGAAACAAGGGGTGCTCCGAAGGTGCTGCCCCCCGGGGGAGCCCCACTTGTCCCCAGAGGAGATGGCAGCAGCACTGGAGCCTTCCCAGCGTGACCAGACCCCCGTGTGAGCAAGGCTGCAGTGCGGGGATGGTCACTGGGTGCCCATCTCCCATCACCGTGCAGCCCCTCCACGCTTACCCCTCCGTGTGGGCTCAGGGTCCTGGTTGTGTGGCACTCACAGGTTCTTCCTCCTGTTGCCTCCATCCTCCTGGCTCCTGGGGGGAAAGCAGCGTTGTGCGGGATGTGAGGAGCCTGGAACCCTGGGAATGAGGGTCTGGAGGAGACGGGGTGTGGGTCAGAGCGTGGGCTCACCAGGGCTTGCCTGGCCCTGCGGGGACGGCGAGAGGCAGCGCATGATCATGTACTCTGCATCCCCACGCTCACTCGAGGGGCTCTGCAGCCGCGACAGGAGCTCAGCCACCGACTTCTTCTTATCCCGAGCCACGGAGCTGAGGCTTTCCCGGTCCAGGATGAGCAGGAAGGACCGCAGGTCCGACAGCAGCTTGTCCAGGTCTGCAGGGCACAGGGATGTGCCATCGACAGCCCACCGGAGCAGGATGCTCATCCAGCGGCAGGGGCTCTCCAGTGTGGGGCTGCGTGCTCCTGCTCCACACAATCCCACTATTGAGCAGCCCAGGGTGTCGGGGGAGGATGAGGAAGGGGCACGGTGCCCCGTGGTGATGAAGGATGCTCTGTTTGTGCTCACAGAGCGGGTTTGTTCCCGACTGGGCGAGGGGAACCGGGGCCAGGGGCTGCGCCGGGCAGCCCAGTGTGCTGCTGCTCCATGTGGAGGAGGAGGAAGAGGGGGAGGAATAGCCCATGGGAGCAGCTGATGAAGGCCAGAAACGCTGAGCATTCCCAAGGGCTGGGACCCAGCACTGGCTGGAGACCCCGACCCTGCTGTGCCAGGAAGGAGGCACAAGGAGCTGCTTTGTGCTCCCTCATCCTGGCTGGGGGAGATGAGATTCCCATGGGATGGGACAGCGCTGCCCCAGTCCCATGAGCCCCAAAGTGGGGAGAGCCAGGGGGCAATGGGTTGAGGGCCCAGCCCCAGTCAGTGCCAGCTCTGGGTCCCTTCAGATACGGGGAAGTGTGGGGCAGAGCAGGACCTCGCACACACATAGCCCTGCGCTGCTGCCCCAGGAGCAGGGAGATGCCCCCAGGGTCCCTGCCTGACCCCCAGCCCCTTCCTGCGAGCATCTGGGAGCGGTTTGCATCACCGTGCTCCTGCACAGACCCGCTGCAAGCCCCCTGCTCCCGGCCTCCCCCTGCCGATTCCCAGCGGGAACAGGGACAGCCCCTGCGGGATGCGGGAGAAGCCCCTTTGGAGGTGCTGGATTGGGGGAGCGCTGCCCCCCTCCCGGTGTCCCCAGCGAGGAGCACACACCCCTGCCCGGAGGGAGAGGAAACATCTGGCAGGAGGCTGAGCAATGCCGGAGCTGGGCCCAAACATCTGGATTGCCCTGGAAACTGGGGAAGGGGAGGGGGGAAACGGCTCCTTGGGGGGATTGGGGGGGGGGGGCAGCAGGGCAGGGGCTGCCCCCGCCATGGGCAGGGACCGATGGGCACTGGGTGAGTGTGTGTGGGGGGGCACAGGCGCTGTCCCCCATGCCCGATGTGCCTGGTTCTCGCTCTCCCTCCCTTTCTCCTCTCCTCCACCCAGGCTGAATTCCTGGGCAATGACATCTGTGTCCACTCACCCCTCAGCCCTCCCTCCATCCTCTCCCCCAGCAGTGGGGCAGGGGCGCTGTGTCGGGCCCCCAGCCCGCTGTGGGGCAGGCAGGGGCTGCCCTCACCCCAGAATGACCCAGGGTGCCAAGCTGTGGGTGCCAAGGGAAGGCAGCCCCAATGGAAACCATCTGCAGGGCGAAGGAAAGCACCCCCCAAACACACAACCACCTCCTGGCAAAGCACCCGCTCCCATGGGAAGGGCCCAGCCCCCTGGCATCCTCATCACCAGCGGAGGAAGAGGAGGAAGGCTGTCCAAAGGGATGCCATGTGAGCAGGGATGCCTGGGTGATGCCAGCACCCACAGGAGCCAGGGCTGGCACTTCTGCCCTATGGCCAAGTTCATTTTCCTCCGTGCAGTGAGGCTCAGCCCCACTCCCGTGGGGTGCAGCAGCTCAGGGGCACCCCAAGGCCCTGCTCCAGTGCTCGGGGTGGCTCTGACCCAGCGTGGGATGAGTCAGAGGAGGAGGTTGGAGGCCCCAAGCCCAGAGCTGCTCCTGGCCGCATCATGTGGGGAGGCTCCAGGCCACGGCTGCTGCACCCCCAGATCACCCCATGGAGGCTGCTGGCCCCCACTCCACTGCCCTATGCTCGGGGGCACCCCAGCCCTGTCACCCACACTCTACCCCCTGCACCCCTTCCCTCCCCACAGCTCCAAGCACATCCCCATCACCCTAAACCCCCCTTTCCCCCTTTTCCTCCTTCCCGGGCACCCCCTTTCACCCCCCATTTACACACATTCACCCCCCCATTTATACACTCACACCCCCCAGGACACCCCAACACAGCCTCACCCGCACGCTCTGCCTTCCCCTTCACCCTTCTGCAGGCTTTAAAGCCCCCCCCCCCCCGGCTCTTTGTGCCCCCCGTACCTCTCTGCCGGGCCATGGTGCGGATGCGCTCACATCGCGCACCGGGATCGGGGCCGGGGCAGCGGGGACCCGGCTGGGCTCGCACACACCCTCCGGGCCCCCAGCACAACCCGGGCAGGGCGGGGGGAAGGCGGGGAAGGGCTCCGCATCCTTCCCGGAGCACCATCGCCATCTGCAGGGACCAGGGAAGGGGGAGAAGGGGAAAGCAAAGCACCGGAGCCGGGTAAAGCCATTTCACCTTTAATTGTCAGCAAAAACTCACTCACGCGGATTCTCCGACACCAGCGAAATCAAATAAACTCTAACAGAACAGAAAGTGAATCACTGTAAGTCAGTCAGAAAACAACCCATATTTATATATATATTTATAGATATGTCGTTTGTAGCAGTGAAAGGCAAGTATGGGCGAGTGGTTCCCCGATAAATTACATTCTTTACATCCCAACAAGGTCTAGCGGCTGGAAACAGAAAACAGGGAGCGTGGGGGGATAGAGGGTGCAGGGGGCAGAGGGGTCCTGCCCAAAACGTGTGCCCAAAGGGGGTGGGAGAGGTGTGAGAAGGGACGAAGGTGCTGCCCGGTGCCATGGGGGACCAGGCAGGGCTGCATCACCCCCTTGTCCTGCTGCATCCCCAGTGCAGGTGGAGATGCAGCAGGAGGTTCCCTACCAGGACCCCAGCTCTGACACCCCCTGCCCCATCCCACCGTGCCCCGCATCACCAGCACCCCCCGGCGCGGTGCTGGGCAGGGTCTGGCAGCGAGTGGGTCCCGGCACAGGAGGAGTGATGGATACAGGGTCTGGAGCGGGGCAGGGTGGGATGCCAGCCTGGCATTGCCGGGAGCACATGGGTCTGGCAGTGAGTCGCCCCCCCAGGCTCTTCCCAAGTCTTGGGGTGAAAGTGTGGGGGGCAAAGGGGCTGGAGGCACTGGGGGGGGAGCCCAATGGAGCTGACACATCCTGGGCACAACCAGAGCCAGGCACTGCCCTGCCAGCGTGCCCGGGGGCAGGAATGGGGGGCACAAAGCACAGAGACCCCCCCAAACCTCCCCTCCAGGCTGAACCGTGCCTGCTCCAGGACAGCCCCCAGCCCCATCGCCCCGCAGCGGAGCCCCCCGAGCCCTTATCCCGTTATCCCGCGGGGGGGGGGGGACGTGGGGGGGGTGGGGAAGGGGTTGGTGGAGATGGGAAGTGGGGGGGTCCTAATAAAAACCGGCTGAGAGCCCTAAAGCGGTCACAGGGCACGACACGGGCTGAGCGCGGGGCCAGGCGGGCTCCGGGGGGGAAGGAGGGCTCAGAAGAGGAAGGCTTTCTTCTTGAGCTCGTTGCGCTTCCAGAGGGCCAGTTTGCTGAACTCCTCGGGGGGCATCTCGAAGACCCGCAGGAAATCCTCAGGGGAGAGGTGACGCTGTGCAGGGGGAGAGGAGGAGGAGGATGGGGTGAAGGGGGAGAGGAGGAGGAGGATGCGTTGAAGGGGAGATGGGTAGGAGGAGGATGGGGTGAAGGGGGAGGATGATGGGGTGAAATAGGAGAGGAGGAGGAGGATGGGGTTGAAGGGGAAGAGGAAGAGGAGGATGGGGTGAATGGGGAGAGGAGGAGGATGATGCAGTGAAGGGGGAGGAGGATGGGGTGAAGGGGGAGAGGAGGAGGAGGATGGGGTGAAGGGGGAGAGGAGGAGGATGATGCAGTGAAGGGGGAGGATGATGGGTGAAGGGGGAGAGGAGGAGGAGATGGGTGAAGGGGAAGGAGGAGGAGGGTGAAGGGAAGAGGGATGGGGTGAAGGGGGAGAGGAGGAGGAGGATGGGGTGAAGGGGGAGAGGAGGAGGATGATGCAGTGAAGGGGGAGGATGATGGGTGAAGGGGGAGAGGAGGAGGAAGATGGGGCTGAAGGGTCCCCCCATCCTGTGGGTGCCCCAACAGAAGCCAGCTCAGCCCCTACCTCCAGCCTGGTCCTGTCCACGCCGGGGGGCAGTTTCACACGGCCTCTGTTTGTCACCATCAGCATCTCATAGGGGTAGATCTGCAGGATGGGGGGGATGTCAGACTCCTTCCACAGCCCCCCCCCAAACCCCAAGGCTCTAAGAACCCCTCCATACCCCCCATGTCCCCCAGCCCCACTCACCTTTTGCTCCAGCATGCTGGGCAGGGAATTGCCTCTATCCATACGTCCACGCTGGCCATTCTAGGGGGGCAAACCTGGTGTCAGACCTCCCCAAAGGGCTGGACTTTCCCACCTGAACTGAAGCCAAGGTGATGGGCTCCAGCCTGGGGACTGGAAACCCAACCTTTGCCCTCCCAGCTCTCCCCTTTCCCCCCCTGGACACATCCTGGGGTGTCCCCATGTACATCACCCTCTTGCTGGGGCTCCATCAGCATCCGGATGAGCGCTTACCTGCAGGCCTGGAAAACACAGAGGAGCAGGACTCAGCCCCAGGCCCCTCCCCGCTGTGTCCCCCCACCTGGGTGCTGCCGAGCCCTAAGAAGCAGTTTTCCCCCCTCAGCATCCCTCATCCCATGGGACATCCCCCACATGCCCTGATGCTCACCAGGGCTGCTCTTCTCGCTGCCTGCTGAGCTGAACTCTGCCGACTGCAGCTGGAAGGGGACAGGGGATGGGATGAGGGTGATGCCACCCGGACCCCATGGGTGCAGGGGCAGCGCGGGAGCTGCGTGCACTCACCCGGGTGAGGGTGCTCCTGCCTGAGGCGGGCAGCGAGGAGCTCTTGTAGCCCCCCGTGTGCAGAGCTGCAAGAGAGCAGGAGATGGCAGAGGTGCCGGCGGGGCTGTGGGGCCTGGCGGGGTGCAGGGGGGGTATGGGAAGAGCATCCTCCCACTCACATGTGTGGAAAGGCGTCCGGTCCGGCAGCGAGCGGGTTTTCCTCCGGATGGGAAGCGATTTCTCCATCTCCTCCTTCAGGATCAGCTTCCCGAGGTTGGAGGTGATCTGGGGGCAAAGGGGCAGGGGGTCAACGTCAGCAGAGCCCCAGCCTCTCACAGGGCACCCACCCCCTTGGCCTTGCCTCTCACCTTGCTCAGCTCCTGCTTCTGGAGCTCCCGCAGGTTCTTCATCTCCTCCGTCAGGTCCTCCTCTTCCTCCTCCCCTCTCTTGGAGGCCATCCTCCTCCTCCACTCCGTCTCTGCGGGGAGATGGGGTGTTAACCCTAACCCTAACCCTAACCCTCCACAGCATCCCCGTGGGGTTGTTGCGGGGGATACAGGCCCTGGAGCATCCCATTCCCTCCCTTATCCCCGCTCCCCACCTACCCACTACAGCCAGGGACGGGGGGCATGGCCAGTAGTCGGTCTCGATCTTGGCGGGCTGGTTGGGATCTGGGGGCTGTGCCGCAGGGAACTTGGAGGATTCAATGATCAGATCCTCTATGAGATGCTTCCCATGGTGGGCGCTGGAGTGGTGCTCTGCGGGGCGCAGGGAGGGTCAGGCAGCGCCCATGGGTGCTCCATCCCGTGGCACAGCCCCCCCCCCGCTCACCTTTCTGCCTGTAGATTGGAGGCTTCTTGTATATGTTGAGCTCTGTTGTGTCGGTCTCTGCAAGGAACAAGGGGGTTTGGGGGCAGGAACAGGATCATGGGATCCCAGCCTGGTTTGGGTTGGAAGGGAGCTTAAAGCTCCTCCAGCTCCAACGGCAGGGACCCCTTCCACTGGAGCAGCTTGCTCCAAGCCCCTGTGTCCAGCCTGGCCTTGAGCACTGCCAGGGATGGGGCAGCCACAGCTTCTCTGGGCACCCTGTGCCAGCGCCTCAGCACCCTCACAGGGAAGAGCTTCTGCCTAAGAGCTCAGCTCAGTCTCCCTTGGGGCAGGTTCAAGCCATTCCCCTTGGCCTGTCCCTACAGGCCCTTGTCCCAAGCCCCTCTCCAGGTTTCCTGCAGCCCCTTCAGGCACTGGAGCTGCTCTGAGGTCCCCCCTTCAGGAGCCTTCTCCTCCCCAGGCTGCCCCAGCCCAGCTCCCTCAGCCTGGCTCCGAGGGACTCCCCAGGACCCCCTGGCTCTCTCTGTGTGCCCCGGTGCCGGGGCTCGTACCGGGTCTGTGGAAGTGCTGCACGCTGCTGCGGGCAGAGCTGCCGCCCTGGCGCGAGGGGGGCTGCGGGGTGCTGCCGGGGGTCCGGCTCTCCAGCCATTCCCGGATGACCTGCGGGCAACGGGGGGGGGTAACTCAGCATCCCCCCCTCCTCAGACCCCCCCGTCCACCCCAACGTGCCAGGACTCACCTCCGGAGATGGAGGAGGAGAGATGGATTTGGGAGACAGGGAACGCTGCAGAGAGCAAGCAGTGATTTATTCCAGCCATCTGCCCTATGGGACCCCACTATCCGGGGGGGGGGGGGGGTTTCCCCACCCTGACCCCCCAGAACAACCTGGGACCCCCTCACCTCTCGGCTCCGGGGCAGCTCCACGTGCTCCATGAGCGAATAGGTGAAATGGGGTTCATAGATCATCAGGTCGGGGCGCTCAATGTCCAGGATCGCTTTATCCTTAGGGATGGCCGCCAGGTCCTTGTAGCCCAGAACCTCGTTGTCCATTTTGGCCTGGAAAGAAAGAAAAGCGCCTTCATTTTTTGGGTGCAGGAAGGGGATATCGGGATTAGCATCCTCTGGGGATGATGAAGGGGGTTTGGGGATGACCCCGGCCCATGGATGGAGGTGGGTGGGCTCTCACCACGATGCTGGAGGGTGATCCGGGGACGCTGGACCCACGGGAGGAGCAGACGCTCCCAGGGGAGGTCAGTGGTTGCTGGAAGGAAAAGGGGAGATGTTGGCAAGCCCCGTCTTTGGCAAGGCCAGCCCAGGAAGGGGCTCAGGGTCATGGTCAGGATCCTGGGGCATGGCGGGGGGGGGCCCGGGGACACCCCTGTGCCCCATGGACCTCAGTGCTCCGGGGCAAAACGTCCTTGGGGATGGGCGCTGGGGTCTCCTTTGCTCCAGCGTTGTGGTTCAGGGCAGGGGACACCCGAGAGGTGGCAGTGGCTTGGGCCAGGACACGTTGCCACTAGATGGTGCTGCCAGGCTGGGCTGGGAGGAGGAGGAGGAGGAGGAGGAAGGCAGGGCCCTGCTAGCAGCACCCCACGGTGATGCTGCTGCTGTCCTTGGCCACCAGCCCCTGTGTGCCTTCCTTAAATGAAGGGCTTCCCATTGCCTGCATGCACCCAGCACCCTGCCCATGGTCCCCAGCACCCTGCCCATGGTCCCCAAGCCCCTTCCCGATGTCCCCCCCCTTTACCTTCTGCTGTCTTTCCATTCAGCTGTGGGCCGGAGGGGTTGTGTCAGTCGCAGGCTCCTGCAAGGCAAGAACCGAGGTTTTGGGGTGCTCCCAGGGTGCACAAGGAGCACCCCAGGGTGAGGCGGCCCAGGGCAGTGGGTCTGGGCAGAGCACAGCAGACCCAAACGTGTACCCAGGGCCGGTTTACAAGGGGTGCCAGCACTCACTGCTGCCTCTGTGGCTCCACATCCCTCTGGGTGCTCGGGTGCTGCCTCTGCAGGGGAGACAAGAGAGAGGTGACAACGGCTTTAGAGGGTGACAGCGGCGGGAAGCCCAACCTTGTCCCTGCCACCCCGATGGCTGCTGACGAGGGCTGGCAAGCGGAGCAGGGGGAATGAAGCCCTTTGTCCATCAGCAGCGAGCGGCCTCCAGAAGGCTCCATCAGCGGCCACGGGACGTTGTGCTGAGCCCTCGCTGTGCTCTGGGCCCACAAAGGGGAAAATTCCCCATTCTCCTCCAAGCTTCTCCTCTGGGAGCGGAACAACCTCGTGCAACCCAGACACAACAACAACAGCAGCAGCAGCAGCAGCATGGAGCCCAGGGTGCAGCGCTGGGGAGATGCCACCACCCCTGGGCACCCCAAGCCGCTGTCCCCCTGGTCTATAGCTCCCAGCAGGGGCACAGAGCCCGTCCCAGTGGGATGCAGCATCAGGTGTGACCACGCCTGGAGCATCCTCCAGCGCAGCACAAGGTACCACCATCACTCCCTCCTCTGAGGGCTGGACCTGCTCTGGGCCTGCATCACGGAATCATGGAATCAGCTCCATTGGAAAAGACCTTTAAGCTCACCCAGTCCAACCACTCCCCAGCACTGCCAAGGCCACTCCTAACCCACGGCACCTGGGGTCTCATCCACGTTGTGTGTGAACACTTGCAGGGACGGTGACTCCAGCACTGCCCTCATCCCTCCTTTGGGACCACTCTGACACAAACACCCCCCTGCTTCACCCACTCACACCCATTCCAGACCTGCCGGGGACAGGCACCACGGCAGCACCGTAGCTCCCAGCAGCAGCCCCAGGGCAGCCCCTTGCTTCCAGCTCACACCCCATGGAGCGGGCTGGCGGTGGTGGTGCCGAGCAGAGGGATGAGACAGCAAAGAGCGGGAGCAGAGGAAGCGGCTGGAGGGCGGGCGCGGGGATGGGTGGATGCGGATGCGGGTGGGAAGGCGAACACGCGGAGGCAGGGACACTGCCGTGACCCAGCCGGGGACGCTGTTTGAGGGGTGCCGGGGCTGCACAGCCGCCGCGGACGCTGCGCACCCGTTATCTGTCACCCGCAGGGAGCCCCCGCCCCGGTGGCAGCCGCCCTCCCCATGGCAACGCCTCCAATCTCGCTGGCAGGGTCCCCCACGCTCTCCTGCTCGCCAAGATAAGGCCGGCACGGAGCGGGTTTGGGATTTGCCTGGTCGGGAGGGTGATGCGGGGCGGGGGGGGGGGCACCACCGTGCGGCGTCCTCCCTCCCACCAGGGTGATGCTGAGGGTACCCACGGAGCCCGGCTGGAGTGAGGAGAGGAAGGAGATGCAGGGAGAGCGCTGGAGGAAGGGTGGATGGAGGGACAGACGTGCCGGGGGGGCTCGCTGGGCTCCAGCACAGCCCGTGGTGACGCCGCAGCGGGAAGAGGCCAGTTCCCTCCTCCCCACCCCGAGGAAATCCGGATTTGACTTTCCACAGCAGCCAAAACCATCAGCGCCGGGCTCCGGGGCCGGGCTGCACGCACCCCGCTCGCTGGGGGGGGGGGCACTGAGCAGGGACCCCGGCCTTCCTCCCCGCTCCTCCTCCTCCCCGCTGCCCCCCTGTGCTCCCGCAGCTCCCCCGGCTCCCTGCCAGCAGTGATGGGGGCGGACACGGTGGGGTCACAAGTTCCCTGAACAGACGGTTCCCGACAGCGCTGGGAGCAGCGTCCGGTGCCTCCAGCCCAGCCCAGCCCCGGCCTCCTCCTCCTCCTCCTCCCAACGCAACCCCGAACCGGACACACGGAGCATCCTCCCCACGCTGGGGACACCGAGGCACCGCTGGCGGTGGTGGGAGCCCGCGTGTCCCCGGTGGCCGCTCCTCCTTTGTCCTGTTTCTCGTCCTTTCCCTCCCCACCGGAGCAGCACCCGGCTATTGACAGCCCATTGCTTCCGTGCCACTGCGCGAGGGATGCATCAGTGGCCTTAAAAGCCACCGGCTCCCAGCTCCAGGGCCCTGGGATTTTTCCATCCCGCAGGGAACAGCGTGCACCCTGCCCCTGTCCCCTCCCAGGGACACAGGGATGCTCCGTGCCTCAGCTCCCCTGGGTAGAGACGGGGACAGGAGCAACCCGCCCACCCCATCCTGCAGGTGCTGGAGATGATGGGGGCATTTCCACCTCCTCCAGCTGCTCCACTCCTCCCATCCTGGGCGAACCCAGCCACTTTCCTGGCTCCCGTCCCTATAGGAGCCTATGAACCCCCCCGCCCCAAAGTGGCCCTACAGGTCCTGGGTGATGGGGTCCCTCCCCAGCCCCCCTGCCCCGATGGCCACACCGCAGCCTGCTCTGGGCAGCGGCTCACGTGGCACATAATCTGGGATTAAAGCGGGATTAGCCTGCTCATCCCACATGCAGAGGGGCCAGAGGGACCCACCAGGGGCTCCCAGTGTGGGGCTGATGATGCTGACAGCCACAGAGGGCCTCCTGCACTGAGCAGGTTGGGGTGGCGGGTCCCTGGGTACCCCAGTGCCGTGTGTGGGGCCCAGCAGTTGGGCACCCGCCTGGCAGGATGTGGGCAATGGGATGTGGTTATGGGGCTACCTGCAGCAGAGGTGGCAGCTGGTGGTGCAGGTCTACCTGGGACAGGCTGGTTTAACCCTGCCTGCCCACAGCCGGAGCTGACCCCCACGGCTCCATCCCTAGCCAAGAGCTGGGGGCCGGGCACTGACCCCATTTCCCCCCCAAAGGCAACCCCCCCGATGCTCCATGGCAATGGAGCGATGGGAATTCGGCCTCTCCTGCCCTTGCCGTGTGGCTGGATTTGGGCAAGAGGAGCAGGGGGGGGTCCAAAACCCTGTGCCCATGGTGAGACCCCAATGGCCACAGCCCCAGCACAGGGAGACTCAAACCCTTCCACAGCCTGAGCTTGGGGACAGCGGGATGGGGGTGTACCCCTCCTAGAACCAGCACTGAGACCCCACAAACCCACTCCACAAGTGGGGCTGGGAACAGCTGCCCTCTTCCCTTGGGATACGCGGTGCCGATGGCAATGTCCCCAGGGAAGGAAGGCAGGAGGGTGTCCCTGCTCTGCCGGGGGGTGTCCTGCGATGAAGCGGGGAGGAGGGGACACGGGTGGGAGCCTTGGGAGGGTACCTGCGGGTCACCCGTGTCCCCATGTCACCGCCCGTCCCATCCCTACGGTGCCTTGTCCCCCCCGGCAAGGGAACCTGGCAGTGCAGTGCCCCTGTGGGGAGGGGGCACGGAGGGAAGAAAAGGGGGGAAGGGAGAAACAAGCCCTGGGGGTGCCCCCACCCCGCCGGGAACGGGCGGCAAAGGACGGGAAAGCAAAGGTCGGCCGATGCCATCCCTAACAAACCAGCCCCTCCCGCACCCCCCCCAGGTATCCCCTCTCCATGTCCCCCTCCTGGAGCCGCGCAAGGGCCACGCCACTCACCTAGCGCCGGGGACGCCGCGTACCTCCAGCCATGGGGAGCAGCGGGGGGGGGAGCCCGCCCTTGGCTTCCTGTACTCGTTTGGCCACCAAATTCCACCGTAGGTCGCCCTGGCCCCGGCCCAGGCACCGCTGCGGCATCCGGGAGCGGGAGCCGCAGCTGAGCCTATCTCCTGCCGCCAGCGCCCGCCCGCAGCCCCGATAACGGCGCCGGGTGCCAGGGCGGGTGGATGCGCAGGGCTGGGTGGGTGCTGCCGCCGCTCCCCACCTCTGCTGCTCCCAACAAGGGGGGAATTAGCCGGCATCATGACGAAGCAGAATTCGCTCCCGCCACTCGCTCGCTCCCGCGGCACAAAGGGAGGAAAACAGACACCGACCCCGACTGCCCAGCGCTGACCGCTGTCAGGAAGAGCCTGGATGGTGCTGGGGGGGGGCTCAGCACCCCCTTCTCCATCCCCTGCTGCAGTTTGCGGATGGTGTCCCCTGTTCCCCACACACTGCTTGGGGTTTCGGCTGAGCACCCCATGGGACATGGGAGCGCGGGGGGGGTGAGGGTGGCCCCATCCCCATCTGCATTTGGGGTGATGCGAGGGTGGCACCCACCCCCGGAGGGGGGACACAGCAGGGATTTCAGCCCAGGGGTGTGGAGCATCAGCTAAAAATCAAGTCCTGACCTCTGCAGACACTGAACCGGACCTGGGTGCTGCCAGGGAGAGCCTGGAGCTGGGTAGGGGGGGAGATGCTGCCCCCACATCCCGAGCCCCCCACGTCCCCGGGGGTGGCGGGCCCTGCGTTGGTGCTGCAGCACCGGGAACTGGTGTCTATTCCCGGCTCTGTGTGGGAGAGAGATGCCTGGTGACAGCAGCTCTGCTTCTGGGTCCTCTCCCTGCGGCAGTGATTGAGGCTGTTCGCTGCCTCAGTTTCCTTTCTGGCTCAAGCAAGGGCTGCTGGAACCCCTGGACCCACATCTGGGGGATGTATGACTGGCAATGCACATCTGGAGGGATACACGCCCAGGGATGCACATCTGGGGGAGGGGGGATGCACACCCAGGAACGTGTGGGGAGGGGATATGGAGAAAAAAGGGGGATACTGGAGGGGTGCACACACAGGGTGCACATCTCGGGGGGATGAACACCCCAGCGGATGCACATCTCGCTGGGGGATTGCCCTTTAGTGCCGGGCCAGCCTGGCTCGCTGGACCAAGAGCATCATGGCCTCAGCTCTGAGATGCTGCTGCACCCCCCCCACTGAAGGGGCTTCTCCAGCCCCAGCCCCAGCAGCCACCCCCTGGGGCCGTGTTCATGAATAACCGCGGCTGCAGCTGCCCCCCCGCTGTAACCCAGTTTCTCAAGCATGAAGACGACCGCGGCGGCTGCTCCATGCACCCGGCGCTGCTCCTGAACCAGCCATGGCACCCCCCGTGATGCCAGCACCCAGGGGCGCCCAGAGGGAAGGAGGAGTTTGGGAACACGCTCATCCTGTGCCAGCCGGGCCCCACACACCCTCGTGTGCACCCACCGAAAGCCAAGCCCAGACATGCTCACAACCCCCCCCCCCCCAGCGCTCACCAGCCCCACAGGGTCACCCCTCATCCCGGTGATGCCCTTCAAAGGCAGCTGCCAGAGGGGCTGCTGGGGGCCTAGGACGTGGGGACAAGAGGGTCGCAGGGCCCTACCTTCAAGGGAGCCCATGGCCCGCTGCAGGCAGGGCTGCCTGTCCGCCGGGAGCCATGCCTGCGCCGAGCATCCCCTCCCCTGCGCTGCACCGCACGTTGCTACAGCGACCGCCTCCCGCCGCAACCGGCTGGAGCCGAGCGAAGGAGGATGTGCAGGAGCCTCCTTCGGCCTCAGCGAGAGATGGAGGAGGTGTAGGGGCATCCTTCAGCCTCACCGAGCAATGGAGGGTGCGCAGGAGCACCCTTCAGCCTCACTGAGCAATAGAGGAGGTGTTAGGAGCATCCTTCATCCTCATTGAGCAAAGGAGGATGTGCAGGAGCAGTCTTTGGTCTCAGTGAGTGATGGAGGTGTAGGGGCAACCTTCACCCTTATTAAGTGATGAAGGAGATGTAGGAGCATCCTTCACCCTTATTAAGTGATGGAGGAGGTGTGGGAGCATCCTTCGTCCCCATTAAGCAAAGGAAGAGGTGTAGGAGCATCCTTTGGCCTCCCCACCCTGAGGGATGAAGCTGAGGAGAGGGATAAGGCTGAGGAGCCTTCCTAGGGGTTGCAGCCCCTTTGACCCTCTACAAGGCAGCTGCCTGACCCCAAATTGCCCCTGGTGCTAGACTGTGGGACAGGGTGACAGCAGCCCTGCTAGGGCTGGCCTGGATACAGCCCCATGTCCCAGGGGACCCCAAGCCCTGCCACCCCTGTGATGCCCCCCAGGAGCCCTGAGCCAGTGAGGACCATGGCGCTGGGGATGGCAGCAGGCTGGTCCCCATCCCCTCTGCAATGGGGTGACTGCTCTGGGGAGCTGCCCCTGAGCATCCCAGCCCCCTGCAGCATCCCACGGGAGAGCAAAGCTTTGGGAAGGGCGGGACACCCTCCAGTGCACTTCCTGCACAGACACCGCTGTCCCCACCTCCGCCCCCGCCCCGGGTCTCACCTCAGAAGACAAGAAAGCAGCAGCGTGAGGGCTTGTTTTTCTTCTCCCTCCCCGGCCATAATTAAAAGGACTCCCCCTTCCGAGCCCTTTCTATGCCGGGAGGGCGAGAAGAAAGAGAGGGGAGGAAGGGGAAACCCTGAAAGAAAAGAGAGGAAGGGCTCGGGAAGGAGAAGAGGAGAGGGGGGAGAGAAAGGGACGGGAAAAATTAAAGCGGGGATCACACAAAGGGCCCTCCTCTACCTTTGAAGCTTTGGCTAAACTGGGGAGGGGGCGGCGGGGGCGGGGAGGGTCCGGACCCAGTCGGCTCCTTTCTCAAAGCTTTCTCCTTTCAAGAATGCCTCGAATTCCTGCAGGAACAAGGAGCCGGGGCGCGGGGCCGAAGGAAGCGGGGGGGGGGGATGGAATTACCCCGGCTCCTGGGCTAATTCCCACCCGCCACACCTGGGCAGCAGCGCCGGGCTTTGTTCGGCTCTAATTGCCGGCTCTGGCGTTTCTCGCTGCTTTAAAGCTCCATTGAACTCAAACTGTTATAGTTTTCTCCCTGCTGACCCCCCGCCCCGTCCCGTCCAGTCCCGTCCCCCCGCTTTGTGCTGCCGGCGCTTTGAGGGGCTGGGTGAGCCCCGGTTAAGGGATTACATCCTCCCCGCGGCCCGGCCGCCACCTCCCGGGGCATTGTCAGACGGGAAAGTAATTACAGAGCGGGTGGGATGGAGCAGTCTGAGCGGCAGCGGTGCGGGGTGGGCGAGCTGGTGGCCCCAGGACAGGGGAGCAGTGGGTACCGCATTGGGTACCATTCTGAGGGTGATGCTCTAGGGGGGGACCAGTGGGGATTGTGCCAAGAGTGATGCTCTGCTCACCAGGATGCAGTGGGTACCACACTGGGTACCAGGTCAAGGGTGATGCTCTGGGGAGAGCAGTAGGTACCACACTGCGGGTGATGCCCTGCTCATGAGGATAGAGCAGGTACTATGCTGAGAGTGATGCTCTGAGGGGGAACAGCGGGTACCACACTAGGAACCACACTGAGGGTGATGCCCTGCTCACCAGGATGCAGCAGACACCCCAAAGACCCAACTGAGTGTTGGGGACACAGGGGGCCCCCATCCAGCAGCCACCTTCATTTTTTGCCATGCAGCCCCTGGCCCTGAGCATTGGGGAGCTGCACAAAGGCTGTGCAAAGCTTCGGCATGGGAAGGAAAATGCCCCCAGGCCCCATCAGTCTAAACACTCGTTTATTTGCCTCAGGGTTTCCTCCTTTACACAAATCACCTCCAAATTCTAACGGTTTAGGCCTAAAACTGACTTGTAAAAGGAAAGAGCAGAACTTAGGAACACACAAACCCCATCAAAAATAAAAATAACCTAAAGGTGGTTTCTCTTTGGCCAGTGGAGCCCGGTGGGCACCATGCACATCCCCACACTGCCAGCATCCCAGTGCCTCTGGAGAGGGCACAGACCCTCCCCTCCAATAAATAACACAGAGACCCCATGGCCATGGCAGGACAAGTGCTGGCCTCAGGCTCTGCATGAAGCACCTCCTGCCTCCCCTGGTGACAGACCATCACCTCCCCAGCACCAGGCCCTGCCACCTCTCGCAGCGATGGGCACAGCATCCTGCTGACCCAAGGGATAAGGATGGGATTTCCATCACTGTGGTCCTGTGACCCCGTCCATCCGTGGCACAGAAACGCTGGGTCCATGGGGGACAGGCACATGTCCATTGGTCCTAATCCTTGGTGGCCTGGGGATGAGTTTCTGAGGGGTCACCAAGGGGCATGGGCAAAGGCACTGGGTGGTGAACGCGGGTACCACAGGATGCTCTAGGGATGGGGGGACCGCAGCGCGGGGCTACAGCCCCCAACGGCCCGTTCCAAGAGGAGTGTGAAAGCAGAGCATCCTTGGGGGAGCGCGGGGGGAACCGGGGTCCGTGAGGGCCAGGAGGGGGGGATGCGGGGCCGGGGCTTCACGTGCGGGCACGGGGGGCGCGGGTGCGGCGGGAGGACGAGCCCACGAACTCGAACTGCTTCTGGCGCTCGGCGTTGGGGAAGGGCAAGGGCCCCCGGTAGAGGCGCTTGATGAAGTGGGCTTCGCGCTGGTTCTGCCGGCTGCGGGAGGCCTTGCGGGGCCGGCCCCGGCGCGTGAAGGCCATGAACCAGCCCTCGTAGCGCGCGTTCTGGAAGGCCGTGTAGTTGTTCTCCAGCACGATCTCCGTGAAGATGCAGTCCTTGCTCTTGCCGTTAGGCTGCGGGGAGGAGGAGGAGGAGGAGGGTGCTTAGCGCCTGCAGGGGTGATGGAGGTGGGGGGGGCTTGGAGATGGGATGCAGGAGCCTGGGCCCCATCTCTGCCACCACACAGCCCACCCCATCCATGCACCAGGACCAGCTCCCCGGGGCTTCCCCTTACAGGAATCAGGCTGGGCAGCACGGTGCTGAGCGAGAAGGGGGATCTCACCCCATAGAGCCACGCTCCTGCTCCAGCTCAGCTCCTGTGACTGGGGATGCCGGCCGAGCATCCCACTCCAGCCCCTCAGTGGGTGTCCGGACTGAGCCATGGGGACGGGGGCATGCAGAGGGTGAGCGGGGGGGGCCAGGACTCACCTTCCCAATGAGCTTGCCCCGCTTGCTCATGCAGATGTACTTCTCGCTCTCGGCCCCCTTGATGCGGACGCGGCTCCCGAAGGTGTCTGTCTCCACAATGAGCTTGGCTGTGAGGAAGGGGAGCAACAGGGATGTGTCCCATGGGGGGTGTGGTACCCCCCTTGAGCTACCGCTCCTCACCCCCCCATACCCTTGCCTTTATCTCCCTGCCAGCATCCCTCCTAGCCCATCGGTGGTGGGGCCGGGGGGATGCTGAGCCCCTGCAGCCCGGGATGCTCCCCAGCCATGATGCTAAAGAGCCCTTTGTTAAAACCCAACAGACTCAAACCAGGCGTTTGATGAAGGCGCCGGTGACAGTACCAGCCCCTTCCTCCCCCCCAGCACATCCACATTGTCACCATTCAATGGGTTCTCCAGGGCCAGACAGAGCCCAGCGCCCGGTGGGTTAATGATCTTCATCCTCATTGTTTCTCTGCAACACAAAGGCTGGGACCTGACACTGAAACCAATGACCCGGTGGGTCCTGCGTTCCCGAGCTGGCACAGGAGGACCTGGGAATGGTCCTTGCTGGTCACCAGGCTTTGAAACACCTTTCCCAAAGCTTTCAGATGCCTCTGTGGGGCTGTGGTGCCCATCAGTGAGGTATCAGGGCTGGAGGTGCCCAGAAAACCCTATGGGGAAAGGTGGTCGGCTTTGAGTGATGGCTGTGGTTGGACTCGATGAACTTAAAGGTCTTTTCCAACTTAGTTGATTCTGTGGCTCTGGGTGGGCTCTGCCCACGCTGCCCTCCACATGTGGGTATTCAGGAGGCTGATGCCAGGACTGGGTGATTCTCCAGCAGGAAAAATCCATCTCATGGTGGGGAGAGGTTGGAGAGCAGAAGCACTGAATACGGAGCCTATAAATGCTGCGTGGGGCAGGCGAGACGCCTCAGTTGGGGTGCTTCAAGGCCAGGGCTGGCTGGCTGGGGGCAGTGCTCGCACAGGGGCTCTCTGTGGGGCATGAAAGCAGCAGGAGCATCCCAGACCTCCCCACGCGCTCCCCAGCCCTTCCCTGGTCCTCACCAAACTTGTTGCCGTCCTCGGCGGTGGCGGTGATGCGCTTGCCGGTGACCTGGACGTGCTTGCCGCTGGTCCGGCTGTAGAGCTGGTACTCCCTGACCTGGCGGCGGCTCAGCTGGTCGCTCACGGCGCCCTGGTCCCTCACGTACTGGTTAAAATTAGGAGACGGTTGATTCTGCCCCTTTGTTTACAAAGGGAAAAACAAAATCAATTTGCTTGGGAGAGCGGAGGCGAGGGGCGGGAGGCACCGGGACACGGGGCTGGACCCACTGCTATGGGTGAGGGACAGCCCCCGGGCATCGCCGGCCCTGCAGCAGTGACCAGGGCACTGGGAAGATGCTTTGGAGCCCAGGGCGATGGGCACGGAGCACAGGGAGAGGCAGAGACGTCGCTCGGCATCCCATGGATGAGGAGGATGCAGAGGCTCACAGGGAAGGATGCGCTCCTGGTGTGCTCCCTCGGGAGCGGGGCTGAGCTGCTGGTCCCGGCCGTATCATAGGAGCTGGGAATGGTTTGGGTTGGACGGGATCTTAAAGCTCATCCAGTCCCTAACCCCTGCCACGGGCACTCAGCAGCACCTCCTGCTCCGACAGCATCCTCTGCAGGCACTGAGGACAGGCTGGGATGCAAGAGCCTGTGGCTCCCTCATTGGGATTGAGACCAACCTAAAGCCATGCTGGGTACCCAAGGAATGGAGCCGTCCCCTCCCGGCCCACCCTGGGCATGCACCCACCTCAGAACAGAGGCATAAACCACCTCAAGGGCCTGGCATCGCTTATGCCAACGGGGCAGCACAAGCACAAGAGGGCTATTGTGTGATAAGCAGCAGATGAGCTGGGAGGGGGGGTTAGTGCTGGTGCTCAGCCTCCAGCCCCGCTCCAGACCCCAACCACACACATCTTAACAGAAAACCTGGTTTGATCCTACGGGAAATGGGACTCGGGGCAGCCAAGCCCAGGAACATCAACCCCAGCCTGAAAACCAGCTCCCGAAGGGCTCTGGGCAGGCGATGGACTCCGGGGGGGGCAACATCTGCTGCTTTCCCTGGGGCTCATCCCATGGGGAGTGTTTGGGGTCTGGCTGCCTGGTTCGGGGTGCACAACATCCCTTGGGTACATGGACCGGGTGCCCTGCATCCCAGGGCTGCAGCATCCCCGCGCTGGGCAGGGGGATCCAGCCCTGTCTTCTCTCACAATGGGGAGCAGACGGATGGGGGGCACTGCCTGACACCCCCCCCCCATCACCACCTTTGTGTATGCCTGGGGACTCATTTCCTGCCAGGATCTACTTTAAAGCCTTTGGGGCTGGCCAAGGAGGTGGGCTGGGGGGGGGCTCTCCATCAAAGGCGGTTCCTTCCCCTCTTGTTTCCAAAGGAACAGCAGTGTTCACCTCGGGAAAAAGAAGGCAAACAGAAAAGAAAGGGGGTCCCGAGGCTGTGTTAGGGCTGCTGGGGGGGATTGTTCGGGCTCGGGAGCAGAGGGTGCTCATATGGAACAGTGCATTTTAATAGCCGCTGCCTTTCTAAAGCGCACAAAAAGGGACGGTGCAGCCTAAGGGGGGGAAAGGAGGGGGGTGTCAAACCTCACACCACCCTCTGCTGGGGGGGGCAACCCCTGCTCGGCCCCATTAACCCCCTCGGTGGCAGCAGCTCAGCACCAGCCAGGGCAGAGCTGGGCCCTGGAGGCTCAAGGCTGATGGACTTGGCACCTCCTGCCCCGAGCAAGGATCTGCCCTGGGAGAGCTTCCCCATTGAGCTCATCCCAGCCCCTGGAGGGTGGGAAACGGGACAGCTCCGGGCTCTGGATACCCCCGTGTCGACCCACTGCAGCCCAGAGGCCAGGCTGATGGGCACAGCCAGCCCCACTGGGGATACAGCAGCATCCCTCCCCTGCTTGGAGGCTGGGACCCACTTGAGGTGGGCATGCAGTGGGAAAGCCACCCACCAAAGCCAAGGCCATCCCAAAGGAATGTCCCCATTCCCCAAGGGGTAGCTCGGGGGATGGCAGAGCTGGTACCCTCACCCTGCCCGGCGCTGCGGTGCGCCATGGGGTTAGTAAAGCATCCACCTACCTGTGTCTGACAGGAGAACATGAGGAGCTGGAAACATCTGAGACAAAGAGAGAGGGAGAGAACAGGGCGCTTGGCTCGGGTCAGTTGTTTTCTCTTTCCCCCCCTTCCCACCACAAGGAATTGCTGTGGTCAAGGACAAACTCCCGCTAGAGCCGGGTCGCGGGGAGCTGCGACCGGCGGCGCGGGGCTTACATGGAGAGGTTCTGCAGGCTGATGGGCTGCATGGTGCTCCTGGAAGCCCCGCGGGCACGGCATGAAACGGTGTCCGCAAGCCTCAGAGCCGCCCTCCCCGCCGGCGCATCCCCAGGGCGCAGCCGGTCCCCTCCTTCCTCCGGCGGCCGAGGACAGAGCCGGGTGAGAGCCGGGCACCAGCGGGGATGGAGCATGGGGCAGGAGCTAAAGCCGGGTCCTCTCCTCCTCCAGCCCCGGGGCGTCCTACACCTCGGGGGCATCCGGATCCATGCTGTCCCCTTCGTCCCAACCCCATCAGCGGCCAGGCCCCGGCTCTAGTCCCTGGTTCGCATCTCCCTGCGGCAGCGCTAACGGGAGCAGCGGCTGCGGGCAGGGCAGGGCTGCCCACGGTCAAGGGTGGGCTCCATGGAGCTGCCAGCGCCCTCCTGCTCCCAGCACCAAGGGGCAGCCTTTAAAGGTGGGGAGAGCCCAGGGGGAGAGGGGCCGGGCCTGCCCCGGGAGGCAGCAGCAGCTCCGGAGCGGGAAGGAGGATCCGGAGGATCCCCCCTCGCAGGGCTCAGGCGGGAGGAGGGGACAGGGTAGGAGCGTCCCCATGGCCGGGGGTGGCAAAGCCCCCGCCTCACCCCACAGACGGGGAGATGCCGGGGTTGGGGTGCGCTGGGGCACGGTGATGGGGCCAGCCCCTGCTGCAGGGAGAGGTGCCCTGGCACTGAGGATGCCTCCTGTCATCTTCCTCGCACCAAGGTGCCAAGCATTTAACGAGCTGGTTTAGTGCGGGGGGCTCTGGGGACCCCACGGCCTCCCAAAGCTCCCCCCGTCCTGCTCTCACCCCACCAGGAGCAGGGGCTGAGCACGCTCCACGCTCCATTTGCTGGGTCAGGGAGGTGCAAAGTGCGTTATAAATACCCCAGCAGGGAGCTGGGGTAGTGCCTTGGGGGTCAAACACGTCCATGGGGTGGCCCTTAGGGGGTGCATGAGGAATTCAGTGCAGACACTGCTTGCCCCCACGCCTGTGCCTCAGTTTCCCCATCAGCTCAAAGCGGGGCATTGGGGTCCATGGGAAAGGATGGTGGGGATCAGCAGGACACCCATCTGCAGGAGGGTAGGGGCCTGATTCAGTGCTAACGGCCCCAATTAGACCTCCCCTGCTGCCTTCTCACCTCCTGGGCCAGGAATCCAGCCCAAAGCACAGCTTGAGGCTCTGCAACCACAACCGGGGCCCCCCCAAACCCAGGGGTCCCCTTCCACCCGCATGGGGACGTGCAAACAGCCCAGTCCCGGGGCTCAGCATCCCGAGGGGGGTTGCACGGGGCAGGGCCGGGGCTCAGCGCCTCCAGCCATGGGGATGATGGATGGCCACGGAGCCGTCATCACCCCTGACGTGCCCCCCCCCGGGCTGGGGCAGGGGTCCTGCGGAGCTGTCAGCGCAGCAGCAGGGGGGGGCCTGTGCAAGCAGTGCCTGCAGGGCGAGGGGAGGCCGAAGGGATGAAGGGATGAAGGGACAGGGCCAGCGGTGCCTGTCACAGCCTCCTGCGTGTGGCCTCAGAGGCCAGAGCCCATGGGGACCAGGCCCTCGCCCCCTCCCCATCCCAGCAGCTCAAAGGGGGCAAACCCAGCCCCACATCTCCCCCCCCCCTCCTGCCCCACACCTGGAGCACACCAAAGCCTTTGTGGTGGCTCAGCTTCTCTCTCGGAGCCAATCTGGGACCCAGCAGCCCCCCCCGGACCCTCCACCAATACCTGCTGCCTCCGCCCGCGCCAGGTCAATGGGTTATAATCATCTCCCTGCTGCTCTGTAATCCCCTTTTGTCTCCTATTCACAAGCACCGCTTGTTGCCCTGCACAGGACAGGGGTAGGGGGGCTGCTGCCGGCCCCCCAGCCCCAGGGGAAGGATGCTCCAGGGTGGGCAGCAGGCACAGAGCTCCTTGAAGGCCCTGGCAGGGATGCAGGATGCTCCCATGGCCCCCACAGCCCCTCCGTCCTCAGCACGGAGCCAGCAGCATGGAGCAGCCTTTGTTGGGCAAGGGCAACCCCAAAGCAGCAGCGTTCAGCGTTCAGGGTTCAGGGTTCAGGGAGGATCCAGCCCCTCTCAACCAGGGGCACACACGGGTCCGCTCCCAGCCCTGCAGGGACCCTCGCACCCCCCCCACTGCCCCACAGCCGGTACCTGGCTGGGCTCTGACACAGCTCCTGCCCCGGCCAGCTCCTCGCCCCTGCAGGGAGGGAAGGGGCTGAACGTGGGAGCCCCCAACCCTGCATTCCCCCCTCACATCACCCCCTTTCCCTCCCAGCTGTGGGCAATGGGCGCTAACCCCCATGGCGCAAGGAACACCACAACCAGCCCCTGTTTTGCAGGAAGGGGATCCTCAGGGGAGCCGCTGGTCCTTCCTGGAGAGAAGGGGAGGGCTGGGATTAGGGGTGCTGGGTCCCTGCTCCATGGCGGGACCGATGGATGCAGGAGTCCCGCTCACGACTCAGCTGCAGGCACAAGGGGCAGAGCAGTAACCCCAGGCTGGGAGTACAAAGGAAGGGAGAGCAGCCCCCAGCGATGCTGCTGATGCTCACCCCAGATCGCAGGCACAGGCCTGCCCATGTCAATGCTGTCTGTAAAGGACATGGAGCTGCTCATTGGGGACCCCCCTGCTGAGGGACCCCCAACCCCAGCAGCTCAAGAGCCAGCACTGACCCAAGAGCAGCATCTAAACACAGCAGCATCCCCAACCCAGACAGTTTATACAGGCAGAGGGCCTCAATCAATCAATCAATCAATCAGTCAATCAATCAATCAATCAATCAATCAATCAGTCAGTCAGTCAGTCAATCAATCAGCCAGTGAGCACACTTCACATCTTAATAGCACCCACCCTTGGGGTCAGTCAGACCCCTCATGAGTGTGTGAACCCCTTGGCATGTCACAGGTCACCGTGCCCTTCTGTGGGCCGCCTTGCCCTGCAGCATCTGCCCTGTGCCTCCTGCACTGACACTGCTGCCCTGGACCACTGCATCCTGCCCTGTGCCTCCTGCACTGACACTGCTGCCCTGGACCACCGCGCCCTGCCCTGTGCCTCCTGCACTGACACTGCTGCCCTGGACCACCGCATCCTGCCCTGTGCCTCCTGCACTGACACTGCTGCCCTGGACCACCGCATCCTGCCCTGTGCCTCCTGCACTGACACTGCTGCCCTGGACCACTGCATCCTGCCTGTGCCTCCTGCACTGACACTGCTGCCCTGGACCACCGCATCCTGCCCTGTGCCTCCTGCACTGACACTGCTGCCCTGGACCACCGCATCCTGCCCTGTGCCTCCTGCACTGACACTGCTGCCCTGGACCACCGCATCCTGCCCTGTGCCTCCTGCCCGGGACCACCGCGCCCTGCCCACCCCGCACGCTCCCAGTGTCCCCGCATCCCGCGGGCGCACGCGCGGGGGGGCGGAGCCTCTTTCGTCAGCGCTGTCAATGGCGGCGGCGGGACTGGTGGGTCAGGGGCGGCCGGGGCCGGGTCGCGGTCGCGGGGTCCCGGCCGGCCCCGTTCCTCCCCGTTCCTCAGCAGCTTCTCCCCGCGCAGGGACCCGGCGAGGCCGCCGCTGCCGCTCACGCTCTGTCGCTGCCGGCCGAGGCCTTCGGCAATGATGTGAGTGCGGGCATGGAGCGGGGGTCCCAGCCGCGGGGGTCCCAGCGCAGGGGGTCCCTACTTTAGGAGCTGCCTGAGCTCCAGCCCCGCAGTCCTGGGGGTCCCCAACACCGAGGGGGCTCAGAGCGCACCCGGGGCACGCTGGGGGTTGCGGATCCACAGCATCGCCCGTGAGCGCCCGGCTCTGGGGGGGGGTCACCCCCAAACTGCCCCCATCCCGCACCTGACCCTGCTCCTGCCTCCGCAGCCCCGCGTGGAGCTGGCCTGGGCCATGAGGGCGCACCAGCACGCCGAGATCTACTTCAATGTGAGTCCCCGGGGGAAGGGGGGCTCAGAGGGGCGCCGGGGGGTTCGCAGTTAACCCTGGGGGTCTCGGCGCAGCTCATCTCCTCCGTGGACCCCAAGTTCCTGAACCTGACCAAGGTCGATGACCAAATCTACCGCGAGTTCAGGGCGGCCTTCAGGGACCTGCGGGTGGAGGTGCTGGACCCCGAGGAGCTGAAGTCGGAGCCTGCCAAGGAGGTGCTGGGGCAATGGGGGGGGACACCCGGGTTGTGCCCCGCCGGGGCTCCGCGGGTGCCGGTGTCACCTGGGCCTTGTTCCTCCCCAGAAGTGGCGCCCGTTCTGCCTGCGCTTCCAGGGGCTGGTGGAGGACTTCAACTACGGCACCTTGCTGCGCCTGGACTGCCGCGGCGGCTACACCGAGGACAACAGCATCTTCGGTGCGGCCGGCCCGGGGCTAGAGCAGAGCTGAGCCCCCGTGCCCGGCCCGGGGCTAGGGCACAGCTGAGCCCCCGTGCCCGGCCCGGGGCTAGGGCAGAGCTGAGCCCCCGTGCCCGGCCCGGGGCTAGGGCAGAGCTGACCCCACCATCCCGAGCGCTTCAGGCTCTTCCTCTCTCCTCTCTCAGCCACCAGGATCCAGTTCTTCGCCATCGAGATCGCTCGGAACAGGGAGGGATGGAACAGCGCTGTCTACAGCAGGGCCAGGGAGCCGGCAGCTCTGGAAGCGGCGTCGGGGTCGGGGTGAGGATGGGACCAGCTCCAAGAGGGGCAGGGAGCTGGTGGCCAGGCGGGGGCCCGGCAGGGCTGCACCCACCCCGTCACAGGCTGTAAATAAACGTTTTTACACTGAAGGGATTCCCTGTGCCCGGCTGTGGGATGCGCCCTGGACCAGAAAGCACCGAACACGTTGGGATTCGGGGTGGATCACACAGACCTGGAATGGGCTGGGTTGGACGGGACCTGAAATCCCAGCACCCTCACAGGGAAGAGCTTCTGCCTAAGAGCTCAGCTCAGTCTCCCCTCGGGCAGGTTCAAGCCATTCCCCTTGGCCTGTCCCTACAGGTCCTTGTCCCAAGCCCCTCTCCAGGTTTCCTGCAGCCCCTTCAGGCACTGGAGCTGCTCTCAGGTCTCCCCTTCAGGAGCCTTCTCCAGGCTGCCCCAGCCCAGCTCTCCCAGCCTGGCTCCAGAGCAGAGCTGCTCCAGCCCTTCTCCCTCAGCCTGTGCTCGAGTGCCCTGACAGAGGGGCAGGACCCTGCCCTTTGCCTCTGCTCCATGTCCCCCCGCGGCCCCGGCTGAGTCAGGCCCAGACACTGCTCAGTAGAAACCATTGAAGTTTTATTTGCAGTCACAATGCTTACACTGTATGCAGCAAACACCCTTACAAGTCAACCAGCAATCTGCTCACGCGGAAAGGACCCAACACACAGGCGCCAGAGGGAAGAAAACGGGGACAAAAAGAAAAGGAAGGAAATAAAATAAACTGAGGAGAAGGTGGTGCCTGGGCAGAGAAACGAGAGCCCCGAGGAGCGAGTGTGGGGAGAGCTGAGCAAGGGGATGCACACGACTAGCAGCAACAATAGTGGAACAAGTACAAGGCAGACGGGTTCCCTCCCCCGTTGCTTTCCTCCAGAAGTGGGTTTGAGATCCAGAACACATTGTGGTGGCTTCCAAAGAGAACGGAGTCGTTCCCAAGGGGGGGATACTTCATGCGAGGCAAAACCTTGTTATTAAGAACCCTCCTCCGTGTGCTGCGGGCCCCGGGAGCATCTCCCTGTGCTCCTGCTCGGCTGAGGGGGGAGAAAAGACACCCTAAAAGCCAAAAGAAAGGGGGAGCGGAGGGAGGTGAGGGCCCTGGGGGAGCAGGGTGACGAGGGGACAGTGCCTACTGCTGCGACAGCAGGGGGACAGGAGACACCCACGAGCAAGCACGAATGAGAGAGCACGCGCCATGGCTTAGAGTTCCTAATAACAAGGGCAGGAGGGGGGGAGTTGCGATTTCAAGGGGCTTAATAAGAAAAAATATACATTTTGGAATTTTACAATGCCTTTTTTTTTTTTGCCTTTTTCCTTTTTTTCTCCGTTTTTGTGTTGGTTTTTTGTGTTTTTTTTCATTTCTCTCTACACTGTCACTAAATAGATCTCTGCACTTTCACACAGCCACCCCTCGCCCAGTAAAGCTTCAGGCCACGCTTTCCTCACTCACACCCTCCCGCAGCACCGGTGCACCAGGACTGTAAAAATGCCCAATCACACCCTTTTTTGCCTGTTTTTTTTTTTTTTTCCTTTTTTTTTTTCCTTTTTTTTCTTTTTTTTTTTTTTAAACTGAGTCAATATAAACCTTGTTCAAAATGTTATGAAAAAATGTACATGTTTTATACAAGGCAGACTGCAGCAGAGCGCTGGCGTTCCACGCAGACATTCGGGTTGGGAGACGTTGGATTCTTGCACTTGGCTTTATGCCCTTCCACCCCCTTCCCATGGAAACAGAAGCACCCTGCCCCGTGAGCTCAACAACCCCTCCTGTTCCCTCCTCCCGTGGGATGTGGAGTATGGGTGGGCTGCAATCCAGCCCTGGGGGAAGAGCAGGGATTTAGAAACGCCCTCTTTTCTTTCCATCGGAAATGGTTACCCCTCTGGGCCAGGCCAAAGAGATGCTGCTCTGTACAGGGCTGTACTGGGAGACGTCAGCTCATCATGTCGTTGCTGTTGACGCCGTAGGTGGAGTTCTTCATGGAGTCGTTCACCTCCCTCCTGAAGGCCGACAGGTTCTGTGTGAACCTAAGGCAGAGGCAGAGCGCAGCGCGTCAGAGCGGAGCCTCCGCAGTGCTGCCCCCAGCAGGACTCCGGCTCCCACTCACCTGTCCCTGTTCTTGGTCAGGAGGTTGCGTTCGATGCCCTCCATGAGGTTCTCGAAGCAGAGGTGCATCGCCTGCTGCTTCTCCGGGGGCTGGCTGTTCACTATGCTGTTCCTCAAGTCCGAGAAATACTGGGCAGGACAAGAGAGGGATGGGTTAATTCCCCCCTGAACCAACAGGCACCGTGGCTCTGGGACAGAGCTGTGGCCAGGCTCTTCCGAGGAGGGAGGAAACGTGTTAGAGCTCCTCAGGTGACTCCTGGTGCCCTCATCAGAGATACCAGGCCCCCCCAGTGCCAAGGGCTGGACACCCTTCCCTCGACGCGCACCCCGACTGCCCCAGCCCCTCTCTGACACGGCTCTGCTCCCTCCAGCCTCAGCCAAGCCCTGCCGGGAGCCTGGGGGGATTTTTACCTTCTCATTGAGCAGTATCAAGCCAAGCAGAGGCCGCGACATTGACCACTGGTTCCTGCAGTCCTCAAAGATGATGATGTTCAGCACTGTTGACAGCATCTGGGAGAAGGAAAGTGAGGGTTTAAATCCGGCCCTTCCATCCCAGCTTTCCTCATCACAGCACTGTGCAGCTTGGGAGCAATGATTCGCCTTTGATGCTCCCAGCGTTGGAGCTCTCAGCACTGTGGGACAGGATGAGGACCTGAACCCCTATTAAAAGGTGCAGACCTTACACTGAAAGCACATGGAGGAGGTGCTGGCAGGCCATTTACTCCAGGGGAATTGTCTCATCTTCACTTAAGGCAATGAAGTGCTTAAATGCAGGGAGCAAAGGCTCTGGTGCCCTGGGGAGCTTCCTCCAGTCCAGCCAGATGAACTTTAAGGCCTGTTCCAGCCTTGCCAAGCACAGGGACCTGCTGGTGCCTGCTCTGCTCCGAGTGCACAGGCACCACTGAGCTGCTCCAGGGGTTCAGACAAACCCTGGCTCACATTTGTTAAAGCAGTGGAAGCTCACATGCTCTCTGGTTGAAGGCACATTTCACAGCTTCATTCCTGTCAACCACCAGCACTTTCTGTAACTCTGTCTCACTTCAAAACAACAGGCAAAAGCTCATTTTTGGCTACTCCCTTCTGTATCTGAAATTAAAAAATGCTGTTCCTTGCACAGGGGAGCACAGCCCTGAAGCATGGCACTGAATCAGACCTACCAGAAGATGGGTACATAGAAAAGATACGATACATAGAAAAGATGCAATACTAGCAAAAATAACCCCTTTCTGCTCCAGAAAGGCCTGGGGGTGTAGAGCAGGGGTCCTGCAGCCCCCACATTACATCATGCTAAGATAACTCAAGCAGCTTCCTGTGCCATGTCACAACAAGGCCCAACACCAGCCAGGTCTTTACCTGCTGAATCATCTCCGGGTGCTGCTGCATGATGTGCAGGAAGCGGTCGCTCTCCTGGGTCAGAGGGGTGCTCCTCTTCTTGGTGCTGCGAGAGAGTTGCTTGAAGAGATAGGTGACAATGTGGTCCAAACAGGAGCAGCAGCCTGTGCAAACCATGGTGTCTGCAAGAACAGCAAAGCAGGGAGGGGTTGGGGCACTGCCAGCATCTTCCCTCACTCAGATGCACTGGGTGGGCTCCCAGGGAAACATCACCATTCATCTGGGTCCTTCTAGGGGCTCTGCAAGCAAGAACCTAACCCTAAACAGGCCAGCAACTTCCTCACGGTATATGTTCCTCACTGATATTCTAGTGGAAGGTGTCCTTGCCCATGGCAGGGGGTGGACCTGGATGAGCTTTAGGGTCCCTTCCAACACAACCCATTCTGTGAGTCTACGATATTATATCTCTAATATTCCAGCTTTAACAGAGGTGAAACTCCTCCACCATTCACAAGGTATGTCTTATCTGTTAGCCTGAAATGCTAGTAGATACACGAAATGCATTCAAAGCAATCCAAGATATTTCCCCACCTCCAAATCAAAGCCCTAAGAGCACCACAGAGAGCAGAAGTAGTTACCTAGTGCAGTGAGACCTTCTGAAATGGAAGAGAGAATGTACATGATCACATGAGGCTCCAGACTGGCTATAAAGTTCATGTGGTCCTGGGTAAGAACTTCCAGCAAGGAATAGTATGACTGGCTGAGCTTGGGATAATCCTGCAGAGACAGGGAGAGAGAAAGACTTCTAAGTTCTCATCCTAGCTCGTAACCACCAGTTAAGGCGTTCTGCTAGACCCAACCCATTCATTAATCATCTGAGAACTGCGTACTGCATCTCCTGGAAAGAGAACAAACCAACCTCTCACAGCAGAACTGATGGGCCAACATGTTTTCCACCCTTCTCCACCACTAACAGCCTTTCAAACAGGCTCAACCATGGTCCAGCAGGTTCCCAGCGCTGTTCTATCGGAACATCTCTCCCCACTGCTCTGCTTGTTTCTAAATGGGGAGTGTGAGTGAGTACATGCCAGTGCTGGAGATGCAGAGATAGGCCTGGCTCCCCAGGTGTCCAAGCAGAGTGCCAGCTCACATCAGAATCCACATGCAGGGTGCTGTGCTCAGCAGCAGGGCCACAGACCTCTCAACAGCCCCCAGACCAGGGGCCCTGTCTCCAAAGGGCAATGGTTTGGCCACTGGTATATTAAATCAAGAACGTGCTAAAGGTGCTTTGAGAGATGGCAACAACTCCTCTCAGCTCCTGCTATGGTAATAAGGGAGATAAGGCTTGGGAGGAGTATCTGCTGCCCTCTCGCCTCAATATTTTGCCAAGCAGAACTGTGCTGATGGGGCCTCCAAGCTCTGGGGCAAAATGGGTTTCTGTATGAGGTGTGAATCAGAGCAAGCCTGTAGGCGGATGTCATCAGCAAGCAGGTTATGTTTCAATTGCTGAGGCATCCAGATCTCTGCCCACAGGCACCAGAGGCAAGAACAATCCCTGGTTCACAGGAAGTGTTTTACAGATGGAGGAGGAATTCTGCTAATTGCTGTGCTGAGCCTTGGAGTGCACCACGCTGCAGAGCTGAGCAGCAGCAGGGCTGCCTGGG